TTTCAACAGGTTGTAGGTGTCGGAGTCCAGAACACGGAGAGCTTCCAGCAGGACTCTTCCCTTTTCCTCAGACAGTGAAACTCAGAACTCGGAAGAACTCAGAGGAGACCGAGCAAGGACTCTGAGATAGACTCCAAGCTGGCTGCACCCAGTGTCACTTTAAGTCTGAACTGTTTTCATTGTGTTTGGAGCTTTGGTACTTTAAATGATAATATTTCAATTACTCGTATTACTGCAGAACCTTACTGTGTCTGTATTACTGCCTGTGGGTGTGGTGGTCGGTGTCATGGTTGTCGGTGTTGTGGTGGTCAGTTTTGTGTTGTGGTGGTCAGTTTTGTGTTGTGGGGGTCGATGTTGTGATGAGGCTGATATTGAACACAGACTTGTTTTAAACGGGTGTTGCTAAACATCCTGAGTTATTAACAGAAGATAAACAACAGTAACAGTTTTGTGGTCAGCATCCATGTTTTTCTCCAAGACACGTGGAACATAATAAAACACTTTAAATGTGAAGGTGATGTCATGTCCGAGATCCAAGTGGGAGACGGATGATCAGATAATCAAAAGCACCAAGTGTCAGTGACATCACTCATCTGAGTGCGTGGCAGATTTTATTAGTTTATTTACAAAATGACACGAACAAATTGGTGTTCAACTGTGTCTTAAAATGCAACGGAAATGACAGAAATAAAAATATTAATAGTGAACATAAATATAAGTGGTGTTGGCGCGTAGCTCATCAGTGCCATGTGTTTTGGATGATTGCTTAGATAAATAAATAAATGAATCATGAAACAAATAGCATTTTAAGGGTAGCCATTTATTAAGACTTGTGCCAAGATTGAAAATGATAATGATAACAAACTAATGATAATGATGAGTCCAGACAACTTCAGTTTTTTTTATTAGTAGTATTTATATATGATTTTATTGTACAATAACAATACAAACAATAAACCAAAACAATTTATGTGTCTGCTTCAAGTCAGCTCCAGGTTCTGTGCACTTCCTCCACATTTAGTGTTGTTTGCTGGGTTACATTAGCGCACCTGTCAATCATGTTCCAGATCATGTTTGAAGGTTCTGAGATCCACATGTGAGCTGAGTGTGAGCCCTGAGGGAGCGAGAGGAACGCACGCTCACACAAGTCTCCTAAAGAAGCACACTCCTGAAGTGTACAAGTGCACACTCACACACTCTTCATCACGTTCATATGGAAAGACCAGAGGCACGATCAGGACGTTGTTTCTCAAGTTGTTTGTGTCTGAAATAAGTCTCAAGTCTTTGACCTCAAGTCCAAGTCAAGTCCCAAATCAAATACAAACAAATCCAAGTCGAGTCTCGAGTCACTGATCCATAAGTCCAAGTCAAGTCCAAGTCAAGTCCAAGTCGTCTGCTTTGAGCTTCAAGTCATTTTAAGTCTTTAGATTTTTACAGTTTATATGAGTTTTAATCTAAACTGTACTTCAAAAGTCCTGGTATATTTATACAGGAGTATTTATAGTAGACTTGTAGAAATGCTATTTTTTCCTTTTTAAACGTCTTGACAAGATCTTAGTGTGAAACATTACAGTCAGAATTAGGGATGTAACAATAATCAAATCTCACGGTACAATATTTATGGTCATATTTTGGAGAGGTTAATAGAATTGTACATGTGCTCATTTTTCCTTCTTCAGAGTGAATCATCACTGTCATATTCCAAAGAAATAAGATTTAAAAGTGTTTTATAAGTGTAAATTCAGTAAAGGATCATGGCCTATACAGTTCCCTCTTTTTTTATACTTTTAGGTAAAAAACCTTGCAGTTCGATATATTGTCCATGATATTATTGTGAGTGTTTTGAGGATACGATGTCATGATATTTCAGTTATTGTTACATCCCGAGTCAAAATAGAAAGAATGCAGATTTAAAAGTGTTTAATAACAGTTATTTTGTCATGTGTCTGCACTGAAATGGAAGGATCATGTTCTATGTAGTTCCCTCTGTTTTACTCTACTATACTGTATATTACTGTAGTACATTTGACGTACCATGTCAGAGTACTTCAGTTTCATCCAAAGTAACAGAGAAGTGTGAGGGACATGTTCCAGTTTGTTCCTGTAAAATTCAGCTCCTCATTTATCAACTGTAAAGAGAAAAGTCATTTCTAAAAACAGAGATATTTTTGGAGTCTTCTCGAGTCAAGTCCCAAGTCATTGACCTTCAAGTCCAAATCGAGGCTCAAGTCTAAGTCCATTTTATCAAGTCAAGTCTCAAGTCCTAAAAATAGTGACTCAAGTCTGACTTGAGTCCAAAAGAAAAGAAACGTAAAGCTATTCTGACACATGCTTCATTTGAGAACATTCATCTTGATGTGAGTCGTATTCTTCTGTAGTTTTTCAGTAAGATGCAAAACAAGTCATTTCTTTAAGTGCTGTCCTTTCCTGGCAAGTCCAAACTGACATCTCTTTGTAAAAAGTAGAGAACCTGCCCCTCCATCCGTCTGAGTGATGCATGTGAAACGAGAGAGCTCATTGGTCTTCTGTCATGTTCAGCCAAATCAAACGTGTCTCCTCACATCAGCAGAGTTTAGTGCTTCGCTCATTGATTCTGCACAGATTCACTATATTTTTTGGTCACCTGTGATATTTTTTAGTGCTGTCATGCGATTAAAAAAATTGAGAGATTAATTAATTATGATCTGTAATTAATTAATCTAATTAATCTCATTTTAATCTCACCTAAAAATTGCTGAGAAAAGCTTCAATTTGAGGTATTTTCATTTAAATTCATTATTACATTATTGTGGCAGATCAAAAGACTGATATATGATATAGAACAAAAAAAAGTGACTTTATAAAGTCATTTATTGTTTAACAAATCTCTCCAAATTGGCTGTTGAGCCCAAGTCTCCATGAATAAGAAACTGTTTGCTGTAAAGTAGCAAAGACGAGGAAATCTGAACATAATAACTTTTGTCTACTTAAAGACAATAAAAAGTCCAGTCTTTCCTTAACCATATTAAAAATATTATTGATAGAGAAATGCTTTATATATGAGATCACTGGTTTTAATCCTGGTTTAGACCTGGTTTAGACCTGGTTTAGACCTGGTTTAGACCTGGTTTAGACCTGGTTTTAGTTCTGGTTTTAGTTCTGGTTTTAGTTCTGGTTTAGACCTGGTTTAGACCTGGTTTTAGTTCTGGTTTTAGTCCTGGTTTTAGTTCTGGTTTTAGTCCTGGTTTAGTCCTGGTTTAGTCCTGGACTGGATTAGTCCTGGTTTTAGTCTTGGTGTTAGTTCTGGTTTAGAGGCGCACAGGAGGAAGCGCGGTTTATGCAGCGAACGGGAGAAAACGCGGCTCACGGGAGGACAGCGATGTCCACGCAGTGTCTACGGAAGGAAACGTGGTCCGCGCGTTCTCAGGTTAATGACGATGATGAAGGTGTGTGTTTGTTTGTGTGTGTGTGTGTGTGTGTTTGTATTTGTGTGTGTTTGTGTGTGTTTGTGTGTGTTTGTGTGTGTTTGTTTGTGTGTGTTTGTGTTTGTGTGTGTGTGTTTGTGTGCATGTCCCCTCATGTGGCAGGTCACTATAGGACAGTAGTGCAGACATCATGAGTCTATGCAGGTTGTTTTCAGGCGATATTATATTTGTTATTTTCTTTTATATTTCACGTCGGGAGAATTTTGAACCATTTTACTTTTGTTTCTGGTTTTGATATTGTCATATTTTAGTTTTGGGATTCGGACATTGTAATTCTGTGGTTGTTGGATCCTAACAGCGGAAAAAGGCTCGAGAAATGGTCTTCAGAAAGTTTGTGAACTCCATAAATGCAAAAGAGAATCAGATGTGTGTGTCTCAAACCTCTGTTCAAACTGTTTCTCTTCCCAAAGGAATTGAAAAATGGTGAAAGGTGAAGGCGATGGGCAGGATTGATCCACAGGAAGGATGAAAGGCGGCCTAAGAAATCATCCCCAGTTTGGAGCGAACATTTTGCATGTGGAGCTCTCAACCTCGGTTATGAATTTATAAAGTCAACGCCAAAGCAAAAGGCACCAGCTGTTCACCAAGAAACACCTTCCACTGCAAAGAGACCAAGACGTGATGCTTCTGTAAAACCACAAGAACAAGAAAGTGCAGTTTGTCTTCTGCACCTCTCGATTAACAAACGGGATCCCGTTTGTTTGTTGGTGCTTCACTTACAAAATGTTCTCTGCAAACTCAGGATGATTTAGGCAGTCAAATGTTTCCTTTTTGGTCCTTTCTGTGGCTCAATCCTGCCCATCACCTTCACCTTTCACTATTTTTCAATTCCGTTGGGAAGGGAAACAGTTTGAATGGAGGTTTCACATAGATTCACACAGATCTGATTCCCTTTTGCATTTATGGAGTTCGTAAACTTCCGAAGCCCATTTCTCGAGACATTTTCCGCTGTTAGGATCCAACAACCAAACAATTAACGATGTCCGAATCCCAAAACTAAAATATGTCAATATCAGAACCAGAAACAAAAGTGATATGGTTCAAAAGACTAGAAAAGATCGACTTTGACAATAGACACATCCCACTGGGAAAACAAACATGGAGGTTTGATGTTCACTTTTTCAGAGGATCCTTCCCAGAATGAATTGCACAGTGATCAGAAGTCCGAAGTTCGTGATGCATGTATACATAATAAGATGCTTGATCAGAGAATACTCAGGCCACAGAGGAGATCAGACAATGAGAAAATGTCCTAACTAATGTCCTAACGCTGTGGGAAACAGTCATGTATTTTAAAAAAGAGCATAGGCCAGTGCTCGGGAAAATATCAAATCTAAAACTGAGGCTGCATGGGCCTTTGTGCTTCATTCATTTGATCATGTAGATGATCTGTGGAGAACAGCAGACGGCCTAAAGAAACATCCAATCATGTTCATCACTCCAGCTCAGTGAGAACACACTCTCTCACAAGGAAAAGGTCTGAATACAAGTCCCCATATGTGCCACAGACAGGTGTGTGTGTGTGCCATATGCATCATGAAGGCTCCAAGGCCCTGGCCTCAAACGGAGAACAGGTTTTGGCCTCATCTTCTGAGCAGCAGCTGGCTCCACAATGACAAATCAATTACCTCATCACCAGAGCGCTCTAAAGTGCACACTGACAACCCCCCCGTCTGCCCCAAGCACCCGCGGTCCAACAGCACCCAGGGGTTCACTCACAGCACCCGATGGTCCACTCACAGCACCCAGGGGTCCACCCACAGCACCTGGGGTTCACCCACAGCACCCAGGGTCCAACAGCACCCAGGGATCCACCCACAGCACCCACAGCACCCGATGGTCCACTCACAGCACCCAGGGGTCCACCCACAGCACCTGGGGTTCACCCACAGCACCCAGGGTCCAACAGCACCCAGGGATCCACCCACAGCACCCACAGCACCCGATGGTCCACTCACAGCACCCAGGGGTCCACCCACAGCACCTGGGGTCCACCCACAGCACCCAGGGTCCACCCACAGCACCCACAGCCCCAGGGTCCACCCACAGCACCCACAGCCCCAGGGTCCACCCACAGCACCCATAGCACACACAGCACCCAGGGGTCTGCCCCACAGCACCCGGAGTCCAACAGCACCCACAGTACCCACAGCACCTACAGCGCCTGATGGTCCACTTACAGCACCCAGGGTCCACCCACAGCACCCACAGCACCCACAGCACCCACAGCACCCGGGGTCCACTCATAATACCCACAGCAACAAGGGTCCACCCACAGCACCTGGGGGACATGACTGGCAGCTCGGTGGCTGAGTGGGTAACACTTTCACGTCACAGCAGAGTCCTGGCTTTTCTGTTTGGAGTTTGCATGTTCTCAGGTCAGACCCTCCAGCTGAGATGATCCTGATCCAGACGAGTTCAAGATCTGGAGGTGGGCCCCTGGGTGCTGCTCCTGACAGGATGCTCCAGTGGCACTGAAACACAAGACACATACAGGGACAAGAAAGTGAACCAACCTTAAGTCCACCCAGAGCACTGGATCTGCTCTGGCTCCTGTTGGGTCAGTTTGGAGATGGAGAGGAGCAGGTCAGGTGGAGTTTGGAGATGGAGAGGAGCAGGTCAGGTGGAGTTTGGAGATGGAGAGGAGCAGGTCAGGTGGAGGTGACACAGAATGAGCTGTGCAGACTCAGGAGCAGTATTCTGTGATCTTTACTGCTCTCTGGTGGATAATAAGTGCACTGCAGAAGGAAATGTCGGGTCATGTTTGTGTTCAGTCACTAATGGACTCAAATCTGGGCTGCCTGATTTTCTATGAAAGAAGGAGAAAGTATTTTAATATAAATCTTGCCAAACTCTCACAAACAAATGAACCTCGGACAACAGTTCATATGTGAGTCATGCTGAAGAAGTGTTTTCTGATTGGATAGAGAGTGTGCTTTTTGCTTTTGTTTTATTTTTGTTACAAAGTTCTGCTTTTCCAACATACTGTCACAAACAGAGCTGGAGTTGTGTTTTGTTTCATTCACATGTTTGAGAAACTATTATTAGTCTGTAACGTCTCCAAAGCTCCAAATGCTCTGTTCCACCTTGTGATGTCATGAAGTGGTAGTTTTCAAGTGAACAGCTCCTTTTATATTTAGTGCAGTAGAGATTGGCAACTCCAGGACTGAAATCATCCAAATGATTGCAGTGAGGTGTGTGGAGTTGTGGAGCATTTCCTGTATTACCACATGACATCACAAGGTGGAACAGAGTGTTTACAGTCTGAGGGAAGAACTCAAATGTGCAGAATCACTAAAAAGTCTAAACTGAAATCTGAAGTGATCATAAACAGGAAGAGGAACACACTGGCAGCTTTTCCAACGCCAAAGGACAAGTGACAGAGAACACAGACACAGCAGTGCATTTTCTGACTGAGTCCACCACCTTCTTGTCTCCATGGAGATGTTATTACTTCATCTGGAATGTTCTACAGTATGGCATTAAACGTATCCACCTTACACTTCTTAAATTACACATTTTTATTGCAACAACAAACTTCGCTGTGATCTGGGTCGCTTCTCCCCACATCTGGAGTGGGTGCTCTCGGGGTGGTCGGGGGTGAGTGGGTGCTCTCGGGGTGGGTGGACATAAGTCTGTGCTCTCGGGGTGGTCGGGGGTGTGTGGGTGCTCTCGGGGTGGGTGGACATGAGTCTGTGCTCTCGGGAGGTTGGGGGTGAGTGGGTGCTCTCGGGGTGGGTGGACATAAGTCTGTACTCTCGGGGTGGTCGGGGGTGAGTGGGTGCTCTCGGGGTGGGTGGACATGAGTCTCTGCTCTCGGGGTGGTCGGGGGTGTGTGGGTGCTCTCGGGGTGGGTGGACATGAGTCTGTGCTCTCGGGAGGTTGGGGGTGAGTGGGTGCTCTCGGGGTGGGTGGAGGCGAGTGCGTGTTCTCTGGGTGGGTGGGTGGGGGTGAGTGACTATACTAACCCTGGAGAGAGATGGGTGCTGACAGCAGAGAGGAGTTATAACTCTAACTCTAACCCTCCACAGACTCACAGGTGACGTACGACTGCTGTGCTCGCGCCACCAAGGATCTACACAAAATATGAAGACCTGGTGATGACCCGGTGCAGCTCCGCTCTGCTCCAGAGCTAAACATGTAAACCTGAGAGAGCACCCCCATCCTTCACTGAGGAACTGGTCTGGTTAAACTCACGGTTAGAGTCTGAACCAGGTTAGGTTCACAGAGTACTCTGGTCAGGGGTGAACTGGGACCAAAAAAAAAAAAAAAAAAACAAAGGCCCTGGACTTTTCCTCCACAAATCGGCCCACAGAAAAATTTGAGGAGCGGGGGGATTACAGTCCGTCTGTTTGTGACTCTAGTGACTGACTCTAGTCTCTTTTCCACAGTTTCATAAACATGACCTACAGTATATGTGTCCCTCAATACTAGACCAGCTTCACTGTTGAAATCCTCTGAAGGACTCTGATCTCTGATCTGGTCTCTACATAAACCCCAGCACCTGCACCTGTCACAGTCAGAGCTGTTTCTGTTGCTTCACCTGCGACAGCTTAAGACCTGTTTATAGTTCTGCATCAGATCTACGTGGATGTGCCACACAGCTCCTCACAGAGCTTATAAAAAACAAATAATTAGTGTTTGGAAATTATAGTTTGGATTCCCATGATGCCTGTGGGACCTGAAGCTCTGCAGAAGCTCGTCTGGTTCTGGTCTGTGCAGAGACTGTATAAAAAGTGGACTATGAGAGTGTGACGTCTGTGTTCAGCTCCACTCACATGAAGCTCTTGATGCTCACGGTTACAGGGGCAAATCTGGAGCCAGTTACAATCACAAGTGAACAGAGCCTCACCTGCAGACAGACACACATATGCATTTTTCTCATTCTCAGTTTATGGACAGAGCAGGCCTCATATGAAGCTCAGAACCTCCAGAATTCAGAGGCTGCACTAGCACTGACTCATGATTAAATCGTGAGTACTTAAACCCCGGCACCTGCAGTCGTGTCAGAGAGAGGCCTTTAGGTTTAGCTCGTTTCTGAGGACACTGTCAGGTCATGTTTATGAAATATAGAAACAAAGATGGCAGTGATACACATCTGTAAATATGTGTGAATAGGACAGGGACAGATGATGTTGTGTCTCTCCACCTGCTGTAGGTCTCCACAAGGTCAACTGCTCCTTAAAAGGCCAAAATAAATATGGCTTTAGTGCTCTGCTACCTTCAAGGCTCTAAACACTTTACATGAAGGAACCGGGAACATCAAACAAATCAAACACATTAGTTTTACCCCAAGTATAAAATCATGACATTGAGTACGTCGGCCCCCTGCTGGGTAAACATGCACACTCAGACGTGATGTGTGGGCCTTACATCTGTCCTGACTCCCCCCACCCGCTCCTGCTCCTGCTCCCGCTCCTGCCTGGGGTCAGAGTTCTGCTCTGTGCTGGACATTAGATTAGAGCGACTAACAAGATTCACCCGCAGACCCCCCTGTCCCCGTCCCACCCTCTGTCTCCAGCTCTGTTTGGCCATTATCGTACTGGAGGGGACATACAATGCTCAGTCTGGACACTTTTCTAATGGCATTACACCAGCGCACCATCTTCTCTTTCACTCTCCATTTCAGCACTTGAGCTGACCTGATTATACACAAAAAATCTATGCTCCATTGGAATATTAGCATTTTCTGCATGAGACTCAAAACAGAGCTTCACATGGAGCTGCCTGAACTTCTGTAGAGCACAAAGAACTGTGAGGTGTGTGACAGGTCAGACGACTCATTTCTCCAAAATGGAGTGAAGAGGAAATTTAAGATTTTACAACAAATCTTACCTAGTCTTTTCTAGTTTTGTCATTTTGGTGAAGTTTATCATTTTACTCGCAGGTTGGCCCCGGGCAGCAGATATGACACGTGTAGATGTATGACACCTAGAAACTATAATGTGAACAAGATTACAGTGTTGGGAAGGTGACTTTTAAAATGTATTCCCTTACAGATTACAGATTACATATCCCAAAATGTAGTTTGTCGTCATAATCCATTAAATTACTTAAAGTAAGTAATGTAATCTGAATACTTTGCATTACTTGATATTGTCATGCTTTTTAAAACTACATGAATGTAACAACCACATCCTGAAAATTTTTGTTTGTTCTCTTCAAATTGTCTGTTGAGCCCAAGTCTCCATGAAGAGGCAACTGTTTACTGTAGAGAAGCAAAGACGAGGATCTGAACATAAGATGTTTTGTTTTATCTGCTAAAAGGAAAAAAAAGACCAGACTTTACTTAAACATATTAAAATATTATTGATAGAGAAATGATTTTTATATGAGACACTGCTGCCTGAAATTATGTCCACCTACTGTTAGTGTCATATTATTTAGTCCTGGGTTTAGTCCTAGTTTTAGCCCAAAATGTGAAAACAGGTAAAAATACCACCCTGTAATCCATTTATTTCAACAAAGTAACTGTAATTACCACTCATGGAAACAGTAACTGTAACTGAATACAGTTACTCATAATTTGTACTCTGATTATGCAACGCCGGTACATGTAATCTGTTACTCCCCAACACTGATTACACAATAGTTGCAATCTGACGTGATCATAAACAGGAAATTGTAGCATGTTTATTTTGTTTAAGATGTCAGAAAAATGCCTTCCTCGTGCGTAACGTGCCTCTACATTTTAGATGGAGTTGATTTCAGATGACATACAGTAGGTACAGAGATTCCATAAACTGTAAATATAATTGAACAATATAAACGAACCCTGCTTGCTGCCACATTCCAAACAGGAAATGAGCATGGGTGCGATTTGGCTCCATCGACTCTGTCCCCTGTTGACTTTGCTTTGAGAAACAGTCACCCCTCTAATTGTTGTTGACAGGCTCCTCATTTGGGTCTTAAATTGTTCGTATTAAGCCGTTCTACATGCTCCTGGGATTTTTATTTTGCCATTTTGTCTGTTGGCTGTTTTGGCTGTTAATTTTGTAAATTAATTAATATTCCATTTATGAAACTCTGCTCCAAATTCACTCCTGTAACTGCCGACCTCTTTGAGCTTCATTTGACTGGAGCTGAATGCTGTAGGTGATGTCACGCTCCCTTAGTCCACTTCTTTATACAGTCTATGTTTAGAACTTACAGCTACCGCCTGTATTTTCCAACTGTTTTTTCTCGACTTTTCACAAATTGCCACATAACTGGTGTAAAATCAGGAGGAATATTTATTTTGGATACTGTCCCAAAAACTCGAGACAGAATTAGACACATATATGAAACTGTCCAGTGCACTTCAAGATAAGGCTTGATTTAAAAACATAACAAATGTGTGTGAAATGAACAACATGTCCAGTGTGGTTGCTGTTAATGTTCCTGTGTCTCCCTCTAGTGGTGGAGTTATTGTATCACAGTTTAAAATCAAACCCCGACCACACGTTTCTTCAATAAACCTTTATTTATTCCTCTCCATTTTATATCACAAAGTCTAGAATCTGTAGAAACTGTACACAAAGCAAGGCACATGAGGTCACCGCCAAATCATGTGTGTGACCCCGCAACATTCAACTAACTATGTACAAGCTATTTATAACACTAAACTTTATTATCATACACGGTTTTATTTAGGCTCTGCTTTAAAAACTCTAGATGCGTTCTGAATTATAAATACGTGTAGTGCACATACATAGTGGAGGGCAGCGCAGCCGATGCTACATATTTACATAGATAAGGTTCGTACAGACGCTTGTAGACCAGTTTTCAGAAAAGTCCCTTGTTCTTCTTGAGGTTGACCTGCTTCCAGCCTGGTAAACTGTGGAACTCCTCTCGGTTCATGTCCAGGGCCCTCTGAAGAAAAACATAGAAAAACAGATTTATAGTTTAACTCTTTCCCCCACGAAGACGACATTTGACGACCCCCATTGTTTCCTTAATGACGTCTTTTGACACCTCCGCTTTATCACTAAAGATGTGATTTGATGAACATTAGAAACGGTTCCTGTTTTTCACATGTAAACAAAGGTTGTGATAGGTGGGGGCCATTACAGCCCACACTAGACTCACCAGTAACATTCAAGGATACGCTTTTGCAGATTTTTTCCAAAGTTAATCGAAGTAGTGACAGCTTTGATTGTTTTCGATTTTGCACCTGACCAGGTAAACTCTCATTTTCAGTTGTTATAAACCTGTAAATGAGTTGAATCACATTTAAACATCCATAAATGAGGAGTTCAGAGTCTAAGGTTTCCAGAGATACAAAATATGTCTGTTTCAGTAAAGTTCATGAGTGTGAAAATCATTTATAATCACTCAGCGAAGTCCGTTTTCTTTTATGCAGTTATGCTCTATGGGCAGCCCTAGAAATATGTAGGAGTTGTTCCTTGTAGACGTCCAAGGGGGAAAGAGTTAAAAGATCCTATATTACACAAAATGGATTCTCATAAGCAATAAGCCTCCTCAAAAACAGAGCTGGAGTTGTGTTTAGTTTCATTCACACATGTTTGAGTAACTCTTTTATTAGTCTGTCTACATCTCCAAAGCTCAAAATGCTCTGTTCCACCCAGTGATGTCATGCAGTGGTAGTTTTTAAAGTTAACAGCTCCTTTTACACTAGTTCACTAGAGACTGGCAGTTCCAGGGCTGAAATCATCCAAATGATTTTAGCGGAGGCGTAAAAACACAGAGGAGCACTTCGACATGACATCATAAGGTGGAACAGAGAAGAACTCAGCCTAAATCTGCAGGTTTTGTGTGTTAAACATGTGAATGAAACAACAACATTATAAGAACTGAGAGTAATACGGGCCTTTTAAAGAATATCTACGCCATTACTGTTCCTAAAGAAATGTTCGTGCTCTGTTCATGGGGACCTGCGTCTCATATGGGGACACAAACAGGTCTGCACGATGTCACTCCTTTATTAGATCAGCATCCTTCAGTTATGGTAGTACTGATGAAGACTGGCTCGAGATCTGCTTTTCCTCTTTCTCCAGACAGTTTGAACCCAGAGACACTGAAGGACGGGTCAAATGCACAGCGTAGCCAGGCTGGTGCCACCTAGTACCTCCACTCAATTTCATTTCTCTCCAGCGACTAGGTCAGGAATCAGAATACACTAGACCAGGGGAGTCAAACATATGGCCCAGGGGCCAGATCCGGTCCTCCAAGACCTTTAATCTGGCCCTTGGCTGATTTTCTACTATAATATTTTAATTATATTTTCTATTAAAATCTTGTTAATTTTCTGTGGCGTTTATCACAGCAGCGTCTCCAGCGTCTCTGTACGTGGCCCCTCCCACCAGAGCAGCACAAATGAAGACTTGTCTCTTTCCAAACGCTCTTAAAGGACGTCGTTTTGACTGTTGACCGTGACGACCTCATCAGAAAAATGTCCAACATGAGAAAAGTGGAGCCGAGTGCAGGATTTTACAACAAAAATGGACTTATTCCTGTTTACATACAAGTTCATGTTAAAATATTGTCTTGAAATTACATTTTTCTTAAAGTTTCAGGTTGTTCATAATATTATAATATTTTGTAAAAGAAAGAGTGCATCAATTAAAAAAGATTTCTGTAATAGATTTGTGTTTCTCTGCACAAATATTTGAACTTATTGTTATTTTTGAAGTATATATGCCATTTTTTCCGGTTGGATTTGGCCCCTGGACCAAAAGTTTGAGTTTGACACCCCTGCACTAGACTGTGTGCAAGAACCTTGGAAGTTGTAGACTGCACACAGACCAATCAGCGAAGAGCTGTGAAACCAGCAATTACTTGGACACCACTGAGTGTTCCAGTGTATTACATACGTCTCGACCAAAGAGCAGTGTCTGGTTAAATTAAAAAATTACCTGCCTACCGTCGAGCAAACGAATGCTGCGAGTTTAATACTGACTTTAGTATGAGAACAAATTCTTGTGTCATCAAGATCAAAATATATATAAACAAAAACTAAGTCATGCACGGCAAAAAACTATAATCTTATAATCATCATCCTTTACCTTAATCATTTATCCCTCACATATTTGCAGCTGAATGAAATCTAAACTGAAATCTCTGGACACCATTACATTAGGATGAGTCTGTGCACACTTGTGACATTTGAAGGGTCGAGGAGAGGAAAGGTTTATAAAAATCAAATGATGTATTGTACCTGGAAGTCGTGGTCAGACAGGTAGAGCTCCAGGCGCAGGGGGTCCACTCCCTCAGGCAGCGGCCGGGACAGGAGCTCCGACAGCGGGTACGTGCTCTGACAGAGGCGGGCCAGGACGTCCTCCACCAAGATGATCTGGTTACACACCTCTGCTTCCTGTAACAGCGCCACACAGAGGTCAGAGAGAGACATGACGCTATACTACTAACTCATTCAAACAGGAAGAGTGCATTTCCTCCCATCTCCCTTGGCCTGAGCTCTCAAGGTTCACATCAGTACTGTCCCACTCCTCTGCTCCCCTCTCTCTGCCACTTCAGGTCTGAACCACCACCTCCTCCCCATCGCAGAACCATCACTGCTGAGTCTATTTAGTCTCACTAGTTACGTAGGCCTCACCCTCTCTGTGATCTCAGCGATGTCCTCTCTGTGCTCCCAGCTGGGGAACATGTTGGTGAAGGTCAGAGGTTCCAGACCAGCGTGGATCAGGTAGGCTTTAGGAGGCTTCTTCTCATTCTTCCCTAAAACAAACACACAAAACATAGATGCGAATAAAAACGCGGAGCACTTATTTCTTTGACTAAACTTAAAGCAGGGATTTTTTAAAACTATCAGTAGCCTTTGTTTTTGATGGTTGGATGACTGGTGCAGGTGCTCGGGTGTAGGGAGTGACCATTCAGTGACCATTTAGGCTTAAACACACTGGATTTCAGCATTGAGACTGGCAACACAAATGAGAAACTTAAGCGAGATTCATTCTTCATTGAGAACTAAAACACCAAATTATTCCAAAAAAAAAAAAAGAAAACAGTCCATCATGGTCAGTGTTTTTGTATGTAATAATAAATATGAGGTTAATATATTCAAATCAAACATTTGTGGTATCTGAGGACACAGATAAGTCATGTTCATGGAATTTAAAATCAAAACATTACAGTTCTTTTGAGGTGAAAGTGTCTAACCTTGACAGTAGTGCAGCACAGTTTCCATGGCACACTTGCGGTCCGAGTCCCAGCGAATCCGAGCCGAGCCCGTCTCAGAGTCCTGAGGCCACCAGCCCTGCCACAGGTACACCTCATGATGGTTATCCACCAGGAACAGGGCTGAGGGGAACAAGGGAACATCAACCACTGCACACACTACATGTCATCCTCTGCTCCTCTGCTTCATCTGACCCTCACCTCTGCATCAGGGTGTCCCCAGGTTTGACTACCCCAAATTTAAGACTTCAAGACCTTTTTAAGACCACTTAAATAAAAAATTAAGACAATCACCGCTCCCATTATGGGGGCAAAAAACACCAAATCCAATTCCAATAATGACCAACCAACTACTATATCTAGAATCTAAGAACTACTCTGGATTAAACCTACACTTCCCATGATCCATCCAGTCTTCCTCCACTGTTCTGACTGTTTACTTATTGCTGCCGGCGCCAGAAACCAAAGTATTGTTTGTGCATACTCCGAATTAAACGTTCCTTCACGTTACATGATTTCATGTTGTTTTTTTTCCCTCCCTCCATTTAACATTGCACTGCAGCCTGGTTGAGTTTACATAAAAATAGGCTGAAATTTAAGACCTTTCTGAAAAAATAAGACTTGGACAACAGAATTTAAGACGTTTTAAGGCATTAATTTAGGAATATGAAATTTAAGACCTTTTTAAGACTTTTAAGACCCTGCGGCTGCCCTGTGCTCCCTCTGCTTCATCTGACCCTCTGCCCCTCCTCCTTTCATCCCTCACTCATGTTCTTATCCCCGAGTATACAGATTACACCGTGTGGTACCTGGCTGCTGGGCGGTGTACAGCTCCTCCTGGAGGAAGGGCATGGCGTTGACCTGCTGGGGCTCTCTGGCCGGGTACAGCAGCTCCACAGCGGTGAAGTGTCCAGAGCTGGAGCTGAGCTGGAACAGGCGTGGAGTGAAGTTAAAGCGGCCCGGGTCTGAGGAGCACGGGAGAGAGATGCATGGGTTATTCTGCTAAAATGGTTATTAACACAATTTCACAGTTAACAGAAGAGTAAAAAAAAACACAGTACTTAGAATACAGTAATCACATTTTAAAAAGCTGCTTTATTTTTGTCTAATTTGATACATCATAATATTTGGAGAACAAATTGTATTTAACTGTGTTCAATCATATCTAGTAAAAAAGTAATTAATTTTAAAACTAAATTTATTACCAAGTAAATGTGAAATGTATCTGATTGTCTGTATACATTATTTGCGTTTTAAAAAAAAACCCTCTGGCTTATTTTCTCCGCTGCTGCCAGCAGAGGGCACACTACATTCAGTTTCATTGTCATTGTCAGTGAGCAAAATTCACAAACGGGGAAATTGCTTTGGTGTTTATCAGCAAAGTCAGTCCTAAACTCAGATTTGTAAATGATTCAAGCGCCGACATGAGCAGAATGACTCACCGATGTATGGACTCAAAAAACTAATACAACAGTCTGTTCAGAAACTGATCTGCTTTGATGAGGTTATAATGAGAACATGAACCTAAACACTGTGGTGGTTATGGTTCAATGTTCTGCAGCGAGCCATGGCCTGATATTGTTTCATAGAGTGTGTGTATAAAGGTTTATAGAAAGGAGGGCGGTCTGATACTGGATCAAAGTGTGTGTGTGTGTGTGTGTGTGTGTGTTATAGAGAGGAGGGTGGTCTGACCCTGGAGCATGCAGTCGTAGGCCTTCCTGTCCCTTCTGCCCAGAGCATCCCAGAAGCCCCCAGGCTCCGCCCCCTCCTCACACTCCAGGATGGTGACGCGGCTGCTGCTGTGGAGGCCTGCCTCCAGAGGACAGCTGCACACACAGTTACACACACAGTTACACACACACACAGTTACACACACACACAGTTACACACACACACAGTTACACAGAGGGTCATACACTTTGGGCAATACTGTGATCACACATTATGAAATTGCAAGAGGTAAAAATAAAAGGAAAGTCAAGATGTAGGAGACTAGTGTAAAGTTTCAGTTGTCCAATAGTTTGGTTACTGTTTGACAGACAGAATGCAGCCAATCACATAACCGCTATTTTTTTGATGTGATTGGCTGTTGTCTGTATACTCACTGTTCTTTGATGTGATTGGCTGCCGTCCGGGACACCTCTCTGGTATGGGGCTGGGACTTGCAGCCGTGCCACAGGTAGATGAGGGACTGGCTGACGCTGAGCAGGAGCATGGAGACCCGAGAGCGCAGGCTGCTGCAGTGACACGTCACCTCCAGCAGGTGGCCCTCCTCTGGCACCTCTCCACGCACACAGTACAAACGCCACGAGTCTGAGCACACAGACAGCAGGTACTCAACTACTACTGCATCATGGACTACTCAGGTTTAATATGTTCTATAACACACACTTTCACATTGAAATGGCAAATAAACATGGTTAGGTTTGTTCTGCATCTTTGAATCACTTAGATCAGGAAAAGTCACAAGGCACCATGCCACAAGAGCAGTTTTTTTTTTTCCCTCACTAATACAGTGCAGTTTGAAGCCTGGCATTAGCAAAGTAACTATATTCTGCATACCACCAAATGAAAGAGTAACTCTACTAGATACAAAGTGAATAATAGGTACTTTTGGTATTCATTTACTTTCCAACTCTATGACTCTATAATTCTGTGATGACTTCTATGATTACCGTATTTTCCGGGCTATTAGACGCTCTGGATTATAAGTCTATTTTTGAATTTTTTCACAAATAAACCGCACCAGACGTTAAATGAAACCCAACAGTGTGATGGGTGAGTGGTTTTGTTTGTTTGGTGCGTTCACGGTGACTCTGGGCTTTGTTCAGTTGTGGCGTGTAGGGAGGGTGCTGTCTGGGACCAACGGATTGTCGGTGTGTTCACAGTGACTCAGTTGTTCAGTTGTGTCTAGAAGTGGCACATTGCACTCGCTTTTACGGTTCGTTCCTCTGTTCCGTTCCTCGTCGGCGTGGAGTGATGAGTGTGTCTGTGGGTGTTTTTCGTTGTGCGGTCGCTGTCTGCTCCGTGTGTGTTTGTGTGTTCTGTGGGTGGTGCGGCTTTGTAGTTTACTGAAGTCGTGCTGGGACACCTGAGTGGATTCGTGTATAGGGCGCTCTGGATTGTGGGGCACACGGTCATTTTTTGATGGGGTTGGAGGCTTAAGAGTGCGTCTAATAGCCCAGAAAATATGGTAATAACTTTCATAGCATACATAAGCCTACTTGAAACTGGAATCTGTTGACAAAAAAATTGTAGTTTAAAAATGTTTAAAAAGTTTAATATTTGAATCAATATGTTCAGCTGCACCTGATATCAAGCCAATACATACGGGTTTTGGTTCCTTAATAAACAATAGTGGCTTACTGTGTGCTGTGTCCTGGTCCTCCTCTCTCCTCCCAGAATGCACCACCATGCCTCCTTTGAAACACTGCAAGAAACAGGGGGGCTCTTTGCCCTGCTGCACCTGAACCTGTGCACACAACAACAACATGGGTCATGCTTCTGTACAGAGACAGAGAAAGATCACATCTTCTACAATAACACACATGCACACAACTTACAAAAACAGTCTAAAAAACAGCCCCCTCTCCTGGTCGTGTCTGTACTGACCTGAGCCCCTCTCTCCTGGTCGTGTCTGTACTGACCTGAGCCCCTCTCTCCCGGTCGTGTCTGTACTGACCTGAGCCACTCTCTCCCGGTTGTGTCTGTACTGACCTGAGCCCCTCTCTCCCGGTCGTGTCTGTACTGACCTGAGCCCCTCTCTCCCGGTCGTGTCTGTACTGACCTGAGCCCCTCTCTCCCGGTCGTGTCTGTACTGACCTGAGCCCCTCTCTCCCGGTCGTGTCTGTACTGACCTGAGCCCCTCTCTCCTGGTCCAGCTCCACAGTCATTAGAGCAGATGTTCCTTTCTCGCTGACGGTGGAGCAACGACCCTGCCAGAAGAAGTATGCACACTTCTCCTTCCCGGGACCGGCAATCCTCACAGGCTCCAGGTTCTGCCACCGGCCCACTGCGCACACACACACACACACACACACACACACGCACACACACGCACACGCACACACACGCACACACATAAACACATCAGGATATCCATCAGCCTGTATAGCAGGTGGACTGTTTGAAGATTTCTGTTCTCAAATGCACAAAAATTAATTTTGTAAAGGTCTAAAATATGCTCCACAATATTTTAGTACATTAGAAAATAGTTGTGTGTGTGCAGTACTGACCTGTGCTGTGTGTGTGCAGTACTGACCTGTGCTGTGTGTGTGCAGTACTGACCTGTGCTGTGTGTGTGCAGTACTGACCTGTGGTGCTGACCATGTACTTCCACTTGAGCACGTAGGTGTCCCCCTCGTGGAACTGTCCGATGCTCTGCTGGGGCAGGCGGCTGTAGTCAAACTCCAAGATGTGCCACATCTCCACTCCCAGAGTGCTGATCTGATAGCTCCTCCACTCCTCACCCTCCACCAACCCATAGCCCCGGCCCACGTTAAAGCCGTCCAGCACCGTGCCCACTGGGGCCCTGTGAGGGGGCAGCATGCGGGCCGCGTTATAGGCCCGGGGCGGCTCTGACAGGGGCTGTTCCTGACCGCACAAGAACACACAAAAACACACAAGAACATATGAGATTAGTGTCAGTTTACTCAGTTTGTAAATGCAAGAGCCTGGACTGTAAGAGGCTCCTGAGGGGGGAGGGACACACTGTGTTCATGTCACACATGTACCTTGTGTGTACTGTATGAGTTCACACTTGTACCTTGTGTGTACTGTATGAGTTCACACTTGTACCTTGTGTGTACTGTATGAGTTCACACTTGTACCTTGTGTGTACTGTATGAGTTCACACTTGTACCTTGTGTGTACTGTATGAGTTCACACTTGTACCTTGTGTGTACTGTATGAGTTCACACTTGTACCTTGTGCCTGTGGAGCTGCTCGTTCATGTTGCTGGTGGGACTGGGGTTCCTGGCCTCGCTCCAGTCACAGAACTTCTCCTTGAACAGAGTGGTCTCGTTGTGCTGCGTCAGACGCCCAAACACGGCCCAGTCTGGACGGCCCTGGCCCTTCCTGCACGCACAAGTGTAAAATGATCTATACAACTCACAAATGAAATCAGTTTGCTTTAGTTCATATAAAGTGTGCATGCTTCTCACCTGGGGATGAGGCTGTTGCACTCCCCGGGGTCCAGTGGGTTAATGTCACAGTTGGAGTAGTCGAAGGTCCCGTTCCACAGGTGCTTGGCCAGTTGGAAGGCCACTTTCCTCTGGGCCAGAGTCACCTCCTTCCCATGCCAGATGTACATCTCACTGCCAAAGTCAAACACCAGCACCTGCACGAGGAGACGGCATGTGAGGCACAGAATTATGACCGGCCCACAGCTACCATTTATGTAAGCGAATCTGTGGATTTTTTTTCTTATACTCAGTCTGGATAATATACCAGACATTTAAGTGACCTGCTGTTATTTTTATGTCACACTGAGAAGAGGGAGCAAAACATGACCCTATTCTAGAAGCCCACAGTCCACATGGTCTGACCTCCTTTGGGTGGAGCAGGGAGCAGCGCGGCATCTTGGCCCAGAAGTCATCGTCAGGCACCAGTTTGTCGTCCGTCAGTCTGTAGATACAGTTGGTCTCCACTATGGCCGCCTCATACAGCTCGTCCTCATCTGGAGTGCCCGCGCCTGGCACCACGAGGTCAGAGGTCAGCATGAGAGACACCATCACATTTTAACACACATACATCACAAAGTACAGAAAATCTCACATCTGCTGCTGGACTTGGCCAAAAATCTGCACTATCTATACCCAAAGCATTTGTGAAAGCAGGGTATCATAAACATGACCTAACCGTGTCAGATACAAGGTAAACATGTACAAATCAAATACAACTTTTACAAATAACAGTTGTAATGCTGGTTTATTCTGAATTACAGAAACATTAGATATGATGGTCAGGTTGTTTGGATAATCATCTGAGAACCAAAACACCAAATTACAACAATCTGAAGGCAGAATGAGCTTCACATGAGTCAATCTATATCTCTCTGTTCTAAATGGTCACTACCTAATCTCCAGCACGTACAGCCAATCGTGACTCAGTGCTAGTGCAGCCTATGCAGCTCAGGGAGGAAATTCTGGAGGTTCTGAGGCTTTTCCATAAACTGACAATGAGAAGAAAAAAATTTATCTGCAGGTTAAGGTGCTGGCAACACAGGTCCAGATGTGACTGAAATGGCTCGGTACAACATTAAATTGTGTTTCTGGTCTACTACTGGTCACTCTGTCCTGCTCCAATTGAATGACAGGCATTATAAAAAAAATAATAAAATAAAAAATGTGCCCAAGGCTGGAAGAAAATAATTTTTTTCCACTTTAAAGGGCCCATCTCATGTAAAGTAACTCTTTTCACACTGTATCTTCTGCACATAAACAAGCACAGTTTGGGTTTTGGAACATCCATTACACAACAGTTTTCTTGGAGACGGTCACAGACCAGGAACTATGAAAGGCCGAGTATTGCTCCTCCCCCGCCCGTCCTGAGAAAGCACAGGCTCCGCCCTCCAATCCCTTCCTCCGCCATCTCAGGGAGGGAGGGGGAGACAGACGTGACCCTGATAGTGGCAGGAATAAACTTTTATTCATCATGGAGATACAGCGCGTTCAGCCGCATGTGTTGGACCCGGAATCAAACGAGGACTTTGAGGAGCTCAAGCACCTCGTTCACATCAGCTGAACATTACTGATTGGTAAAGTATTAATAAACACTAGTAGATCAACTTATTATATCATGTAACTGCAGTGTAGAACAATGAGCTTAATTATGCTGTCGCTTTTGTTTAGGTGTTCATGTGGGAACTGTCAGCTGATGCGGGGTGGAGGCGGGACAGAGATGGTGGAGGCGGGGGAGGGGGGGAGGGTGTGAAGCGCTTTCTGCTACATCAAACGTGTCATAGGTGAATCTGCTGCGTCATCGTTATAGCAGCTTTAGTTCGTTGTCACGTGGGAGGGTGACAGAAATTCGCTGCAATTTGTTAAAAAAACACCAAATCAATCTTAAAAACCACTTCAGCGACAAATACAAGTCCCACACATCACTCTTAGAAGGTAGAAAGCTCTGAAAAGTTGATTTTGCATGAGACGGACCCTTTAAAATAGTGCTTTTATTTTGATTTGAAAGATTATAGAAAATGACAACAGCTGACACATTATTATAGATTTATTCTCATTTTATTTTAACATTTATACAATTATGTCTTATTTGACACCTATCTCTTGGCATCTTTTTTGCTACTTATTTAGAATCTTATTTAGAATTTATTATTATCATTTATATTTTCGCTCTGTTATTACATTATATTGTGATGAGTGAGCTGCTGTGTCCAGATCATTTCCCTTGTGGATCAATAAAGTTTGTTCAAGTCAAAGTCTATTTTTACTCTGGACTGGTCTCACTATAGTTGAGCTATGAATGTAGAAGTGCGTCCTCACCCTGGTACGTCCCCTGTCCTCCCAGAATCCTCCAGAAGTCTTTGGCTGAGGGGCTGTGTCCCCCGGAGCCCTCCTCCACCACCTGCACATAACTCGCTCTGCAGCCCAGGTCTCTCTTACTCTGGATGAAATTGGCCAACTCAGACGCCTAAATAAAAGAAACAATATATCAGTTAAAGTTTAAAGTAACAGTAAAATAACCATAAAACTAGCAATGTGTCTATAAATAGAATACTACTCTGTATTTGGTCTGAGCAAACACATCACACACAAGCAGCAACTGTTACAAATAAAAGACTAATTGGAAACAGCTCATGAAAAGCAAACTTTCTATGGGCCATGGTTTGCCCGGACAGCTAAAACCACAAGCTCTAACAAAACTTTACAAAGACGAGTGGATCTGGAGCCATGTCCTGTGTCCAAGACTCCAGAGGGTGTGACTGACAGGCAGATTAACCAATCAGAGAAGCATGCTCAGTTCCGATAAAAACAAACAGTGGCTAAAAAGTTTAAAAAAAAAGGAAAATAAAACACTACAGAGGACTGAGAAACGGAGCAGATTTCTGCAGAATCAATGACCAAAGCACCAAACTCATTTATCTCAGGTAATAGAAGTGATGAACTGTACGAAAATTTTGAAGAGCAGATGTTGCTTGCATTTAAGACATGTGATACAAATTAGTAGCTGTGTTTGGATCGTCTAGTTTGAGATGCAGGTTTGTCATGATCTGTGGTCCGATTCCAAACCCTTATAGATTCAAACAGGATGTAGAAAGGACTAGATACTCATGCAAACACATGGTATCGGGGTTTCAAGTCTTCTGTGCTAGTGAACTCAAATCTACCAAGGCTGCCTTTATAAAAAGATTCAGACTAGATACAGACAGATCTATCTATATCTTAGCTCGAGCGTTGCCCCCTTGAGGAGTTCTATATTAAACGCTGCCAGTTGTGTATTGGAATCATGTCAGAAGTAGGCGTGTAGGACCTTGTTCTTCTCAATGACGTTGGCGAACTCCCCCATCCACACGAAGCAGTTGTGAGGCGTGAGCAGCAGGAAGCAGTCCCCACTGTTCAAAGAGGAGGCTCTGGGCTCCACCAGCCGCGTCTGCACGTGTCTGCGACCTGGGCACATGGAAGGGCCACACAGAGGTCACGTCACACATAAGAGTCACACATGGGTGAAATCACTGTACTGTGTTAACCCACACTGTCCTACAAAGACACAAGGCAGTAACGTCATGTTTGGTCAAAAAGGAGTTCATGTCATTTTGTGGATTTTTCCTTTATCATGTGAAGAAATATTGTGAAAAATATTGAGCTCAAAATTGCCCTTTGACCCTTATTTGGCTGTTACTGCACTCTGCCTTTGTAACATGGGCCAAAAATAAGGAGTCGTGCAAAGGCAAAAGGCAGTTACTGACTTTGGTCCAATGAGGTTCATTTGGTCTTACGATTATTTATGTTACTAGGTTCTTTTTTCAGACCAAGAGTTTGTTTTCATACCTGACAGTTTCAACTGCTCCCTATAGTGGTCACATGACATCACATGACCACTCTGAGGAAAAGCACTAGTCTTGGTCTGAAAAAAGAATCTACTAACAGTAACTGACATTGTTACTGCCTTTTGCCTTTGCACGACTCCTTATTTTTGGCACATGATACAAAGGCAGAGAAGAGTAACAGCCAAATAAAGCCCCATTTTGAGCTCAATAGTTTTCACATACAAATATTTCTTCATTATAGTAAGTATTTGTCAAATTCTGGGAGCCCTGCCTATCCTACTTGTGTTTGGACAAAACAAACTTTGAAATCATGGGGATTGGCATTATAATTCATTTGCATATGAAGGATTGCTCCAGGTAGCAACAGCGCCAAGTGGTAAAGTAAAAACAAGCAGAGATAAAGATAAAGAGATAAAGATAACGTGGTGAAAAATCTAAATATTACTCCAAATGCTGTATATTGGTTGAAGTTTTATCATCTGATGCATTTGTAGGAAGAAGTCCAAGGTAGAATACCCCTATCCATCCATATATCCTCTTTTGTAGATCTACCCTCATACTATATGTCATGAGGGTACATGTGTTTTGTAAACTGTGTATTGTGTGAGTACATCAGGGGAGTGGTACTTGAGTGTGACCCAGTCCAGTAGTAGTAGGGCTCTGATGTGGTGTGATTTAGGGCCCCAGCTGTCTGTGCTGGCCGGACCAGAATAACCTCTGTTGTGTCCCACTTTAGACTTCCTCTGAAGCTCCACGGTCATCTGCCTTTCCATTCCTTTTCAGGTCTGGGTCACGCCGTGCACGCTCTCACACATCAGACAGTTTGTGAAGTGAATGACAATACAAGCACGTACATGTAGACCATGTATATATTAGCTAATCAGAGTCTTTATATATAGAAAACTTTATTCTGTGTCCTTGTTCTATAAGACAGTGGTAATGTAGGTGACATCTAGTGGTGTTATTTACATGTACATTACATGTAATGACTGTACACTGATTTAATCACAGGCAGCATTCATCTTATGTCTGAAAGTCTACATGTTTGAGGGAGATTCACAGTTTTCTAATCAAGAAATAGACTCAGTTATATAAGTGACTGCCCGCCATCTGAAATGATGACATAATTGTTGAACCCTTCCTGTAGCACTTGGTTGATATTGTGATGTGTAGATGTGTGTTGTGTTCTGTGTGCAGCTCTGACCTTTGACCTGCAGCAGCATGAGCTTCTTGTAGGGGACGGCGCTGTTGTTGGACACATGTTCAGAGATGTTAACACTCCTCAGGTTCACGTTACTGAAGCTCTCGGTGCTGGCCAACCCAGCCAAGGCCACCTCTGACAGACCACTGTTCTTATTCACTGCAATGACACAATATTCAAGTGTTACAAATATGAAGTATTTCTGTATCTGTATTGTGTATCTGTAGAGGGAGACTTTATGAGTGCTCCGGGAGCCATACAGGAAGAGACAGACAATAACTCTGTACTGGTGTTAAACAGTAGAGTTTGCTCTGGACAATGAGAGGAAACAGAGCCATTTAAATGTAGGTCAAACCTACAGAGTGTTTATCCTCCACTCCATTGAGCTGAACTGTATGTAGTCTGCACGTGGTTGCCAGAGTCAAACCAGGCATAAAAGGAAATACATTGAGCTGCAGAGGCTGCACTAGCACTGATTCATGATCAGTGCTATTAATGCAGGTGCTGAGGTTTAGGAAGCAATGTTTGATTTGAGTGTGTTTACCTCATGTCTGGGGACAGGCAGGTCATGTTTATGTTTTGATTTTAAATTTTATAGTTCCTTCAACCCTTTTTATATTTACCAGGACAGTCACACTGCCAAGCAGACAGAATGGATGATTAAAAACTAAGTAGTGTAGTAGTATTATTCTTGCCAATAAACCATTTAAATTGTGTATGTGTGTATTACCCATGTGGCCACACTACAATGTCAGGTTTCAATTCAAAATCAGTTGTAGTTTAGATCTCTATTTATACTTTCTAAAATGTACGAGATTTTTGGATTAGTTTAGCTATTCTGATTTCAGTCTCAAATGTTAATGCACCTTAATGAGTTATTAGAATTTGTTTCATTAACAAATTCTTAAAACTCAAAACATTTGCAAATCGAACACAAACTTTCAGGACTAGTTGCTAAAGTTTCCATTCGATATTTGAACCCACTCTTCTCCTCCTTGATCCTCTTGCTCTCCAGCAGCCCCACGTTCAGCCTGGACTCTGTGTACTCGTGGCGGAGGTCTTCTCTGGAGGCCAGGACCTTCAGAGGGTTCCTGGATGACTGGACGTTCCTGGCTGGACGCACTGACCGTTTGTGCTGCACCATCTCTGAGGTCAACCTAAGACAAAACACATGAGATCTCAGGATTTGTAAGAATACAAGCAAATGTCCAGCTTTGAGTGTGTTTAGTGTCTTCATTTAACATTTTAAATAACTGTCAAACCAACAAGTGTTTCTACTGAACAGACATTACAGGACAATTAGGCAAATAATTGAATGCACTGAATTCATTTAAATGTTTTTAATGCTATTTCAGGATTTTGATGATAAAATTACTACATGTACTGTTTAAAATACAAAATAAAACCATAAAATACAATGTAATTAAACAATAAATGCATAAAAAAATACGTTTTATATATTAACATCACATAAAAACAGAACAGAGTGGACAGAGTGGACAAGACAAAATGAACAGAGTGGACTTCATGAATAAGACAGATTGGACAAAGTGGACAAGACCGAGTGAACAGGACAGAGTCGACAGGATGGAAAGGAGAGTGGACAGGACAGAGTGGACAGAGTGGACATGCCGTACTTGGGCTGCTGCGAGCCGAAGATGGCATCAAAGTCCTGCTCCAGCTCCATGTGGTTGGCCTGGGGCAGGTCCTCCATGTGGCGGTAGAACTTTGAGAAGGTCTCATCCTCCAGATTCATCACCTCTTTGACTTTGAGCTGCGTCACTGTGATGGTGCCCTCCACTCCAGGCACTGAACAAGAATCACAAATGTATAAAAACGTTTGTGATAAAATATGATCATTATAACATGTAGTGGCTGGTGTTCACTTTACATCACAATATTGTAGAATTCCTACATTTCAAAAGTGAGTGTGAGGTCAGAAGTCTATACTGGAATTTTCTCTGTCAGATTGCAAATTTGTTGACCTGGCTAATATATCTGTAAATACTGAATCCACATAGAAACATATTATGATTGAAAGTTTATAGAGCCAGTTCCAAACAAATCATGATACGGTTCAACATTTGTAGATCATACATTTTGATATTTCTTTCAAAAACAGTGAATTTTCCAATCTCCATCTGATATTTTCACATTGTGCAGAGCAGGCCAGACCTTTGTTGTTGAGCTTCCCAAGGAAGTTCTCCAGTTTGTCGAGCTTCTTGTCCGTCTCCAGGTGCAGGTCAGGGGCGGCCTTGATCTCTGTCCACACAAACGTCAGGCTTTAGACACACAGCTCTCTACAGGCCTGTGTTTACACATGCTAAGGTATGGGAGTTATGGTAGTAGGTCTACTACCTGCACTTCACCATGGAGATGTTTTTGCTTTGGTTGGAATGTTCCACAGTGTGGCATTAAACTTTCTGCACCATAATACATGTCAACTTTAAACAAATGAAAAGAGTAAGTGTGGTCACACCACACTGAAGGAGCTAAGGAACTATGAAAACTAGGGACAAAACCATACACTAGTGCACATGGTATTTATACATCAGACGACGTTATTCAGTACAGATGGAGTCTACACGGCACAGGTGGGTCTAACATGTACAACATCAGAAAGAAAGAAGAGAATCCACCTTTAGAATCTTCTTCCTCGTCTTTAAGAAACAAACAAACAATTGGACATTTTTAGAGAAGACTTATTACAGTTTTTAAACTACATTATGTAAACTACGTGTGTCTACATAGAGTTTGTGTAAACTGGACGCCCGGACGCGCCGGTTTGAACGCAGCTTTAGTTTTGTCCCTGATCCGTGGAGTTTATAGAAAAGCTGATGAGGCCTGACCTTCCTGTGGTTTGGAGATGGCCACACAGTTGTTCTTGGGCTTGGCTGGTACTGCAGACTGGAGAGCCGTGGGAGACGCCAGGCCTGGTACACAAGACAAAAGGTATATTATAAATGCACAGAGGAAAACCATAAAAAAGCAGTTAATTCTTATACACAATTAATTATTTATGTAAAGAACAGTGTGATCACGGTTTTGTCCTTCCCACTTTGTCCTCAGCGCATCAGATGTGAATTTTTAAAACAGACTAGAGTTACAATAAGAGACCAGTGAAACAGGTGTTTACACAGTCATCATAAACAAATGTATATCCAGATTATTGTCCACTCTGCCCAATTTAAACTCACTTCAGTTTGTGCTACATCCCACCTCCTCTGCAGCTCCCCCTCGGCTCCTCATCCTCTCATCCTCCCCTCACTCTCCTCTCCTCTACCACCTCCAGTGTCCAGGCCCCAGGGGAAAAACATCTCCCAAACCTCATCTGATCGTCCACGCCCTTCATCACAATGTCTTCATCATGAGGTCTGAGTGCCAAAGCCAACTCATTCAAGAAAACATCAAACACTTTATATATTTATGCCTTATTTAACACCAGTCTCTTGCTATTTTTCCAGCTTATTTTGAATTTATTGTTACCATTTATATTTTTGTTTGTTATTATATTTATTGTGATGTGATACCGAGTCCAAATCATTTCCTTTGTGGATCAATAAAGTCTAAGTCTACTTTCACTTTGTGTCTTTGTGTCCCTCCAGGTTGAATTATTGGTATTGTCTGAAAAGACTCCATGTGCACAATCCTTAAATAAAAGCTTTGATAACACCAATAAATGGTGAGTGGAAAGAACTCTACCATGCTTAAAAGCTCTGAAAAGTCAATTTTGCAAAACAGGTCTGATTTAACATAAGATAAAAATACAGACTCAACAGTGACAGGACATGTTGTGGTTTGCTGAGAATAGTACATAATAAGAATATTTGCAACATGTACTTTTCAAATTGCAGTGATTCAAAGAGCAATTTCACCTCCATAGTAATTCAATGTCCTACCAGACAAGAACACAAACACTAAATATTAAAGCTGGGGTACACTTTTTCTTTTTGGAAAAGTTTTGGTCAGTTCTGTGTTTTCAAAATGAGTCTTGTGTGCCGTCTAGAGCTAATAACTGAGCACTTTTATTTCTTGTCAACTAGGGATGTAACGATATTTGATATAATATTGAATCGTTCGATATTGATCTCACAATTCAATACACATGCTAGTTCGATACATGTGTCGATACACTCATGTCGATACACACCCTCCACTGTCCGTCCATGCCTCTGTGTTGTCATTTACTTTGGTCTGAAAGGAAACTGTTATCGTGGTGACCTCCTCAGATGCAGCAAGAAAACAGCTCCACAGGGACTTACAGCTGAAATATTCTAACAGAGGTGGATTTTATCGTTCAGTCACTTTTTAGTCTACCTTGATAGACGCAGGAATGACAAAAATATTCACTTTTAAAACCTTTAGAATTCATTTTGGATTCATGTCGGCTTTAATCAAATGTGCTTGTTTATACACCCGCAACGCAACTCGCGATATACAAGATCTATTTCTCAGACTCTCTCAAGTTTTACTCAGAAAACGGTCTTTTGAGACATTCTTAAGTAAGATAACATAGTTTTATTGTCCAGGAAGAGGACGGGAGAGCGCAGTGTGTCACAGACTGTAGGGGGCAGTGTGGGAGGAGCTACGTACTGTCTCTGCTGGAGGAGAGAGCAACAGACACAAGCGTGTGACACAGGAGGAAAAGAAATCATCAAACCATCATCAAAGAAGGAAAAGTTTGATAGTGCACCTCCCCTACCACCAACACCCATTTAAAAATAGACTCGCTATATTATAAAATAGAAAACAAACTGAGAAAACTCTGTTCTTATTTTCACTGAATAAACATTCTGAGCTGTAAACTATTGAACCAAACGAACTAAGCACTTCACATTAATATCATTATGTTATACTCATTAGGAGAAAAAAAATCTCATGTATCTCATTTTTGAGTTTTAAAATGAAATCGAATCGATATCGTCATCCATGTATCGAGCTACATATCGAATCATGGGAAAATCATAATTGCATCCATATAGCCAACCCAGAAGTAAAGGCCAAAAGCAGTGGTCAGATGGGCTGTGCTTGGACGGTCCACTCCAGTTTCACTTCTAATAAAAGCTGTTCTAAAGCCGTGCACGAGCCTGAAAATGACCGTGGATATTAACGACGTGCTGAAAGCTCTGTGAGAGCTACTGACCAGTGAGAATTAAAAAACTAAATCAGCTTTAAGTGTGGATGGTTTGTGGTGCTCTCTGACCTTTCTTGACCATGCGCGCCGCCACGGTGAACTGGGTGGAGTCGTTGGCGGCTCCGTGGCCCGTGCTCTTCCAGGCCTCCTCCCGGGCACAGATCAGCTGCTTCCTCTCCTGGATGGACATCTCTACAGCCTGGCTCTCCGGGTCCACCACCGCTACACGCTAACAAACAAACAAACAGGATTATGGTCAATGTGATGGAACAAGTCTCGTTTAAGTCTCGTTTTAAGACCCACTTTTATTCTCTGGCTTTTAACACTGTGTGAGTTGTGTGGTCCTCTGTCTCTTTTATTTATTTGTATTTATTTTACTTATTTATTGCCATTTTATAATTTTATTTGATTTATACTCATTTTATTGTTTTTAGCAATTATACCTTTTATTGTCTTGTCTTGATCGATGCTGCTTTGTTTGTTAAAAATAAAATAAAATAAAATACAAATCTATGTAAAATGTCCTACAACAATAAAGTGGATTTGGATTTGAAAATGAAAGCACACACTAAACAATATGATTTTACTGGAAGAGATTTAAGTAAAAAATTAGTAAAGTGCAATGAATAAATTCTGGTGTCTAGACTGTGGACGTGCTGCTGCTGTGGAGATGGCAGATTACAATTAAATGTAATGTTTTTAAACCAGCCAAATCTAATCCTATATATACACAGTGCATTCAAAGTTTTGATAAGTGAAACATGTAAACAATTGATACTTTGGAGTGACACCACGCTGGGGGTGCTCTACATGTATATCTATGATGGGCACAGTGAACACTTTAGTAAAGACTGTCAAAAAAAGTCAAATAGTCTACAAACAGATGGATTAAAATCAGCACATTTTCAGGAGCCTGTGATCAATATAAGTGTTCATGGTCCTGTTTAGGAGTTTGATTTTCAACAAAATGATGAGTGAGACTAACTGAAAAACTGTTGACTAATTTGATGTGCGAGACTTGTTTAACAGCACAAATCAGCTCACCTGCTGTAGTTCCATTTAAGTCAGTTCTTTCTGGTCAGATTGAGTTTAAATAAAGCTCAGGTTAATGTCTAACTTGAGTAACAGCTTCAGACAGTAGAGCCTCCGTTAGTGTCACATCCCTAGAGAATGTTGATGACATCACATGCAAAGTATCAATAAAATATCACAACAAGGAATTATGGCTTCAACTCCCAGTGTGTCAATGTATGTTCTGTGTGGAGTTTGTATGTTTCTCTTCACTAGATCAGATCCTCCAGCTGAGGAAGTCCTGACCAGGAAACGCCGGCTGATGGATGGTCAAATGTAGAGGGGGGAATTAGTCTCATGAAGGATCAATAAAGTGTTCCTTAACCTTAGACACACAAAAGAAATCTGACCCTAAACAAAAACAGGTGTCAGATCTGTGTATCTTTAATATCAAGAAAAAAAATGCAAGAAATAATTATGTCAAACAATCTAACCCCACAAAAAACAAGCAGTGGTGGAAGAAGTACTCTGTTTTGTTACTTTAGTAAAAGCACAGATACTGGGGCAAAAAAAGTAATAAAGAATTAAAAAAAAAAATATTTTGAGCATATTTTGAGGCTTCAAATGTCGTGATTTTAACAGATTTGAGCTGAATTTTGTTCAGTACAAACAACTGAATCAGTCTTTTTTTTTCTCCACTTTCTAGCTGTTTTTATTTGTATATTTTCATTGCTCAAACTACAAATGTGTTAAAAATAAACCTTTGCACTTTTCAACAATAAAAAATAAATAAATATATATATATATATATATATATATATATATATGGCTCCTTTTACTTCAGTTCTGTTCCAAAATGAATGTAGTACAAAGTAAAGGATACCTGCTCTCAGATGTAGAGAAGTAAAAGTATCCAGTTTAAACTTTACTAAGTAAAGAAACCTAAACTTTTACTTGTTGACAGTCCACCACTGTAAACAAGAGCTAACATTTTAAACTAAATCAACATCCCAAGAACCAAATAGTGCCAAAAGGTGTGAGTGTCTGTAACAAGAGGACACAGGAGTGGACCATGGACATTGTGGAGTGAACATGGAGAACACAGCGGTGGACTTTTGAGGGGACATGTGGTCACCTTGCGTCTCCAGGGGTGTGGGTCCTCCGCCTGGACAGCTCTGGGACAGGGGACGTCCTACACCATGAGATGAGATGAGAGAAGGACAGGTGAGGATGGACATGAGGATGGACATGAGAGGTGAAAGGTCAGGGCCGTACTGTGAGCAGAAAAGCACCCGAGCCAGAGCAGTTACACACGTCTGTGGACAGTGCAAAACATTCAACTGCCATTTCATTCTCCTCTCAGCACAAGGCGTTTTTGGAGTCTGTATTGTTCAGACAGAGATTATTTCAGTTTAAAAGGACCATATTCCTCATCACAAACAGACCTGGAGTTTGTTTTGTTTCATTCACACATTTAACACACAAACTCTGCATATTTAGGCCGAGTTCTTCGCTCAAATGGAAAAGAATCCACCTTGTGATGTCATGTGGTGATATAGGATGTGTACCAGTGTGTTTTTAAACTCCATAAACCTTCACTAGAATCATCTGGATAACTTCAGCCCCAACTTTAGCTCCCAAAGGACTCAATGATGATTTTAATCTTAGCAGTTTTTGTAGGCATTTGTTATATAATGAGGTCTCTCGCTTTGGGTGGGCTTTATAGGGACTATTTTAAGATCCATTGTGTACATATATAGATGTGTATATGGCATTGACATTATTTTATAGTTGGGTGAATATATACTGCATCTATATATATCCAGATATTCTTATTTTTCTATGATTTTTTAATTAATGATTAATATTTCATTATTATTATTATTCCACTGTCTGTTGTTTGTCTTTGTTTTTTGAATTATGGAGTTTTGAGTAGGGTTGTCCCGATCCGATCACGTGACTGCGGACTCGATCCGGACTCGGCCTTCATGGTCCAAGCAGGTATCAGATAAATAATATACGTATATAACACACAGGACACACAGCAGTTTGTTTTTTTTTTTTTTAAACTGAGGTGCGGGATTTGCTCAGGGACGTCCCGTCAGCGCCTGCTAAAAAAGAGGTGCACTTACGTTGGGACTTTTGGGCTGTGTTGTGCTCGGGCGCTGTTACCTGTGGTTCTGTGGCCCGTGTTCACACCTGCGCGGCCGATGGTGTCATCGCACGGCACTGTTTGTTTGTATGTTGCGCTGCAGAGTTGGCGCTTTTTGCAAGGAGGGTGGGAAAAGCAGCGTGGAGTGTCTATTGAGCAGTGAGACCGATGTTACAGTGTGCTCCGCTGTGGGTTTGTGGATGTGGTGGCGGTGCGGGGGAGTGGGGGCAGTGCAGGGGAGAGAGACTGTGGGGCTTCTGTCATCTCGTTTTTATTTGGTAAGATTTTGTATTATTCATAGACGAGCCTAAATGTTTCAAATGTAATGCACATGCAAACATATAATATCAAATGTACAAAGTGTAGATTGTGCAGAGTCTCAGGTCTGATCTAAATCAGGTCTGGTTCCTGTTTTGTCCAGTTCATTAAGTTTACTAAGTTACACATTCCAAGACCAGACTGTGAAAAGTCGAGATTTTCAACAATGATGATGAACGGTTAGAAAAGTTAATAAAAGTTAATAAAATTAAAGTTTTGGACATTTACAATACTACACACTGAAATCAAAACAATCTGATCCTGCACACAACCTGAATCTTATTCTTTGCTCTTAGTTCATTTTATAATGTTTTATAGAAGTATCTGATCGGGACTCGGTATCAGCAGATACTCAAAATCAAAGGACTCGGAGGCAAAAAAATGTGATCGGGACCTCCCTAATTTTGAGTGCACTGTTTCTTTAGGACCTGTCACCCTTGGGTGCTTGCCACACCCTATTTAAGATGGCCACCTGAGCTCTCATTCCGTTTGCCTGACGAAGGCCTAGTGCCGAAACGTTGCACGGTTTGTCCTAATAAATCTCACAATTTGTAAGTAAGACTGTGCGTGGGAGTTTTCTCTATGTTCTTGTGCTGCTCCCTCTCCTCCGACGCACCGTCTCTAGGAATCGATGTGTGAAGTTCTCATTCTTTGATAACTTCAGCTCTAAAATTTCCATCTTTACTGAACAGGTAGGTGAAAACTACTGCTTCCTCCATTTCTGGTGAAGATTTGTTATATTTTATTTTACTTTGATGGCATTTCTGTTCTCGTAAGCTCCCATGTTCTGGTAAATAGTGTTTTTTTTTCTTTTTTGTTATATACCAAAATAGAAAAGATCACGTTTGAACTGGAAATCTGTAATATGTAAATAATTGCTCTTTCCAGACAAAAAAAAATTAAAAAAGAAAACTGCCACTTCGTGACATCACAAGGTGGACTAGAGCATTTTCAACTTGAGATGTAGACAGACTAATAATTACTAAAGGATTACTCAAACATGTGAGAAAACCCCCCAAAAAACTCCAGATATGTTTTTGATGAGGAAACAACATTTTTCAACAATTTAATATAATAATAAAATAATAAATGAAATCACAATTAAACATGTGATTAACTGCACAGCCCTTTGCTCCAGTCAAATACATTTCCCACACAGCCACATAATGCGTTCAGCTTTATGCAGACGGCGGCAGGGCGAGCGAGAGAGGAAACAAAGGAAGAAGGGTGATGAAGAGGAGGAGCACACTACCTGTACGAGCTGGTCAGAGGAGGAGAGGACAGGAGGCTCAGAGGACAGAGCAGAGACAGGGCCCTGGACAGTGGACACACACATAATGGGGTCATGAGTCTTGGAGGACATTACATAGACTTACATAGACTTTTCTGGAACAGGGACTAAAACCAAACACATTAAACACATGAAAAAAAGTGAGTGTGAACAGAGTGTGGTCTCACATGAGAAGAGAAACATGCAAACACTAAAACTCAGCTCTTCTGTCCACCACCCGTCAGCACATATACAAATACAGAGGATGTAACAGAAGTGAATTGTGCTAAACAAATAAACTTGCCTTGTTTATTTATTGTATAATCTTTTTTTCTCCAATCTTGTACATTTAGAATAGTTTGTGTGGTTTAAATCTGCTTTAGGGTTTTTGTCTCAGTGGCATAAACTAGTTTCAGTATTATCATTTATAATCTACATTTATTATATTACACTTCAAAATGTGTTATTGTGACAGGCCTAGGTTTAGGTACCACTGGTACTGAAACTGAAATACTGGTACCAAAAGAAAACTTCCAAGTGGGTTCTAGGAGGATCAACAATGAAAACAAACTAAAACTAAACTAAAAAAATTAATTAACATTGTAACTGCTGTTACTCTAGATAAGGAAGAAAAAACACTGTTCAGGAAATGGTGCCAAACATCAGGTATTGTTGAACTTGAACCAACCACAACCACAAAAAAACTGAAAGGTACCCAAACCCTCTTCTGGTCATGTGATCTACAACCAAACCCCAAAACAAGAATCAACAGTCGCCACCAAACTCCACCAGCCGGCACCAGCAGCCTGACCCCCGCACTCCAGTGACCACACCCAAGGCCCTGGCTGCAGCAGCTGTGCCCATACCACACCAACATTGGGGTTATCACCATGGTTACAGATCTTACCCACTGCTGCACACCGACAGATGAGGATTCCATCATCATAGAAGCGCCATCTCCCTATACACACAAACACACACACGCACGCACGCACACACACACACACACACACACGCACACACACGCGCACACACACGCGCACACACACGCGCACACACACGCGCACACACACGCACACACACACACACACACACGCACACACACGCGCACACACACGCGCACACACACACACACGCGCACACACACGCACACACACACGCGCACACACACGCGCACACACACGCACGCGCACACACACACGCACGCGCACACGCACGCACACACGCACACGCACAACACGCACGCGCACACACACGCACACACGCACACACACGCACACACGCGCACACGCACACGCACACGCACGCACACACACACGCGCACACACGCACGCGCACACACACGCACGCGCACACACACACGCACACACACGCACACGCGCACACACTCACGCACACACACACGCGCACACATACACGCACACACACACACGCACACACACACGCGCACACGCGCGCACACGAACACACACACGCCTCTCAGTTTGAACATATTTCAAACATAATACGATCAGATTTAGTAGGGTGAGTCAGGTTGTCATGGAGAAATCTAAACCATGAATTATGTAACTCTGGCTCAGTCACTGTTATATAATTGAGTCAATCCCCTGGTCAGGGCTGTGGTCTGGAGCTAATCAATCAGAGGGGAAAACTCCACGAGACTCAACTGAGATTTACAAGAGCACAGGGACACAATATTTCACATTATTTACTCATTCATTAAAGAGCCCATAGTATGCCCTTTTCTAATCTCTGACGAGGAAACAACATTATTACTATTATTACTATTATTATTATAAACAAGATAACTGGAGTTGTTTTGTTTCATTCACACATGTTGAACACACAGATCCTGCATATTGGCAGGGATCCAACAATGCAGTTTTCCCACAGTTTGATATGTATCTCGATACACGGGTCACATTATTGATTCAATTTTGATGCGTTTTATAGCACACACAAAAAAAACTCATGTCATTTTTTTTTTTCTGTTAATGAGTATTATTTAATAGCACTATGGTAATGAAACAATGCATGCATTACTACTACTATAAAATTTTACATGAAGTGTTTTAGTTCATTTGGTTCAGTGATTTAGAGCATTTTTATTCACTGAAAATAAGAACAGAGCGTTCTCAGGCTGTTTTATATTTTATAATATACCAGTCTACTCTTAATATAGACTGTAAGGGAGTTACACTATCAGTCTTTTCCTTTTTTGATGATGATTTGATGGTTTATTTTCCTCTTGAGACTTTCCTCTCACTGTGTTCACATGCCTCATGCCTCATGCCTGTGTCCGTGCTGCTCTGCTCCTCCAGCACAAACAGCAGCTCCTGACTGAAAGATAAATCCACCTCAGGAAGAAGATTTCATATGAAAGTCCCTATGGAGTCGTTTTCTTGCTGCATCTGAGAACGCTGGAATAACTGTTTTCCTTTTCGGACCAAAATAAGTGACAACACGGTGTGCATGGAGGGACATGTGCATATCGACCCAGCACAAGTATCAAATCGTGACATCATTATCGAATGATTCAATATTATATCAAATATCGCTGCATCCCTAATATTTAGGCCGAGTTCTTCTCTTAAACAGAACACTAGAATCATGTGGAGCATTTCAGACCTGGAATTGTCTGCTGAGCTAAAGGAGATATTCACTTGAAAAGGTCAAAATATGGATCAGAGCTTTGGAGATGTAGACAGACTCATAATAAAGGGTTACTCAAACACGTGTGAATGAAACAAAAGATGAAAGTTCAGGTATGTTTTTGAGGAGGTAACAAGATTTGAACACGGCTTAAAGCTGACAGGAGTCAATTTTGTGTAATATAGGATTTTAAATTATATCCAGAAAATAAAGCCTCACGTATCAAGTTGCCCCAATTATTATTTTTTTTGACTATTACTTGAATGTTTTGGACCATGACATTGTACTTCAATGTGAGTACTATTATTTTAAAGTAATCGTACTCTTACTGGTGTACAGTTTGTAGCTGTTCCCCCTCTGACAGAAAGCTGCGCTGTCAGCTGAACCCTAGTCTGAAAGTCTGACCAACTTGGCTCAGTCCGGGTCATTTCATGTAAGAATGTGAATCAAATGGATTAACAGCTGTAGCAGAAATAGAGGCTCCACTCTCAACCCACTGGGCAGCTCGGGCCAAGAGGACTTTTCTTATTTCTTCCACCATTAGGGCTGTAGTAAACTAAAGAAATTCTTGGTGGACTAAACAGAAGAGTGGCAAAAGCTCTTTAAAGTGTTCTGTATCTGTATCTGACCTAAACTGCACTCAACACTACACCTGCAGGGGGAGTGAACGCAACAACTAATATTTATGCATAAAAAAGGACTAGGAAACTGTATTTATATAAAAAAAACAACTTGTGAATTGTGAGATTAATCTGCGTTTTTACATAGAAATACCAACAAATACCAAATCTTCAGCTCATTCGCTCTCACTTCTGATTTCTGCTCCTGATAATCGAAATAATAAGTCTCCATTGCCACTATCGAGTGAAGATGTAAGCTGTACCTTGTTCTTGAAACCACGTTCTCCGTCCAACAGCTGAGTGTCGCCGCCGGCAACCTGCGCCACTTCCTGTTTCCTTTGAATCCTGCTCCTCCAGTCTTCCTCCCCGCTCCTCTTCAGCAGAGCCACCCTGACGGACGGACGGATAAAACATCACTAATGTTACGCTGTAAACCATATCCTGCTAAAAACCATCATAATAATCTTAACATGGCTTGCCCCTGTACAGAAATATTGTAGAAACAGCTCTTGAGGTCAAAATAAGTCCACTTTGAACTGTCTGCACCAAATTATAAAGTGTTATTGTTTGATTATCAAGAATTGTTCGTCAGCATGCTAGTTGTCGTTAAATTACCGTAAAGGCAAAACTGGTTTCTGAAAGTTGGTGAAAGTGCTTGTAAACTCATCATGGTGAGTAATTAGGATGAAGTGAGGAGTAACTTTGGAAGAATACAAACTGTTTACAATGAACCACTTCTGTTTTTCATGTTTTTAAAGAGTAGAAATTAGGTATTGCACCATTAACAATTTAAACACAAATCTGTTGTTACAGTCTTAAAAGTAAGAAGAAGAAACAAGGAAAAATATTGTTGATTGAATAACTCTGAAGTAACTTGAACTAGAATTTTAACAATCCTAATTAGCTATATCTGGTCTGTGCAGGGCATTTATTGTGCAATGTCCCTGTCAGATAAATAAATAAAAAATACAATTTGTCTGTTTCCTGTTTAACCAGAAGTACCTTAATAGTTATGGCAAAAAGCAAAACAAAACTCGGAACTATGTTATTAGGTTCTTTCTTCAGAGTTTGTTTTCAGACCTGACAGTTTGTTCTGCTCCCTGCTCTTCCTCAGAGTCACGTGATGTTGCCGTGTCGTTTCGCTCATCTGATTTAAACAGATTTTGGCGCCGTCTTCCTTCCGATGGAGGCAGAACGAGTGCAGTCCATTAGACTGAAGAGGCAATCGAAATACAGAAACATGCCCTCGGGACTATAAACTGTCGTCCTGCCTCCATCGGTAGGAAGACCGCCCCAAAACCTGTTTAAATCAGCTGAGCGACACATCACAGCAACATCACATGACCACGAGACAGAGCAGAACAAACTGTCAGGTATGAAAACAAACAGTTTGTCTGAAAAAAGAACCTAATAAATTAAAGAAATTCAATTAAATTATCGGAGGACCAAATGAGCCTCATTAGACTCCAACTCAGAACTGATGTCCTTATTCTCTTAAAAAAACAAAAAAACTTTGAAGTAAAATATCTGAGGATGGAGCATGCAGCACTGAGCCTCCATACTGTGACCTCTGCAGTTTAGTCATGTCACACATCGATCAGTCATGTGACCAGGGCTTTTCCTGTTATGCAATTAGTTTGACTGCATAAGGAATCCAGTAGTGGACAGGCACAGGTTTTTAAAGCTCCGAGATTAGGCAAAGTTGACTCTTTTGAACTTTAAGTCATGTTATAATGTGGTTACCTTCTCAGAAACACAACATAGTCGCATTCTGTTTAATTCACAAATCTTGATGAAAAACCCTTTATTATTAGTCTGTCTACACCTAACAGTGTAACAGCTCCTTTTACCTTTTGTTTTGTTTGAAGAAACTGACAATTCCAGGGCTAAAAAGATCCACATGCTTCTAGTGAAGGATGGAGTTTAAAACCATCCTTCCTGCATTACCACGTGAAATCACAACGTAGAACAAGGATGAGTTTTCATTCTGAGAGAAGAACTCAGCCTAAATATGGGCAGGGTTTATGTGTTGAACATGTGAATTAAGCAAAACACAACTCCACAACTATGTTTATGATGGGGAAACAGTCTAACAGAACAGAAAATAGTGTAATACGGCCCTTTAAAGTGGGGGTTCATATTATTTATAGTGGATAAAGTTAGGCACTACACTCTTGTCAAGTCTTTTTCACCACGTCCCTCTGATCTCTGCCACACTGAACCCTTATTCTTGAGTAAGTAGTACCAGAGTTATTAACTCAAAACATGCTACACAGGTCTCCAGGAAGAATAGTTGATAGCTAAGGTCAATTAAATATAATCAATCAATGAAGCTGCACAGGGACGACAGGTAGAAATTAGCACTAATGCTACAACCTGATGTACAATGCATCTCTCCTGTTAAGGTTAAAGGGACAGTTTGGAATTTTGGACATAGGGCCTCATTTTCTAGTGAGCCAGAGTCCTGTAGACATGTGGAGGCACTTTTTGAAATAACACATTCAGTCCTTGTATTTGCAGAGGTCACTGGTGTTAGACTAGTGCATGTCAATGGTCATAGTTCTCCTGCCACTAAAAACACTCTTACCCACTCCACAAAACACCTGAAGCAAATCTATTATTACACCAGACTGTCCATGTCTATGTCAACAGAATTATTTTAGAAGTAAAACTATCTTTGTATCGCATGAATCGTTGCACGTTGAGGGACTATTTTACTCTACTGTATTTAGTTGTGATGATGTCAATGTGGCCATAACTGGATCAGGCTTCTTCATGTGCTCTATGTGTCGCTATGGCAACTGCAGGTAAACAAACTATTATAGAGCCAGTTGGGGCCAGGTGATATCAGTCCGCCGCTGCCGAGCTTTCTATCAGGAAGTACAACTCACTGCTGCTGCTCAAACATAAATCCTTCAAATGCAAGATTGGATTTACTTCTAAAATTATTCTATCAACACAGACATTTACATGGACAGTCTGGTGTGATAATAGTTTTGTTTTGGGAGTTTTGTGGAGTTTTTAGTGACAGAGAAACTATGACCATTGACATGCACTAGTCTAGCACCAGTGACCTCTGCAAATACAAGGACTGGATGAATTATTTCAAAAAGTGTCTCCACACGTCTCCAACACTCTGACTCATGAGGAAATGAGGCCCTATGTCCTAAATTCTGATCTGTCCCTTTAATGTATATTGTGCAGTGTATTTGTCTCATTAAATAAACTAACCATTATATTTCCTTAATCTGTCATAAGTGGAGAATGAGCTCTGACCTCTCTTTGATTGACATGTGGCGTGCATTCATCACGGCAATGAGCTCGTCTCCTCCCTCAGACTGCACCACGCCGTCTACTTCAGAGCACTGCCCCCTTCTGTGTGGAGGTGGGACTGCCTTTGTGATCTGCTGACTGGAAGACTCCACCGGGCCTGAAACACACACAGTATAAAACATGTTGGAATTCTGTATTAATCTAACACACGCCTCCGTTCCAATCAGCTCATTTTTCAACATTGAACGATATTGAAGTCTGGACGCTCACTGACATTTGCCAATATTGATATTTAGCTGTTAAAATCCATAGCGAGACACACAAATGTAAATGAAGTTAAGTGAGAAGAGCAACTTTTCACTTTCGGTAAAACAATCAAATGTATTTATCTGACATAGAAAATCATTAGTTGCATGTTTGTATAATACGACACTTCTATTTTAATTTAACATTGACTCATTACTCAGTTTAAAAAGGGCACTCTGTCATGGTTCATGTTTGTAGTGCTTGTATTTGCTTATTTTGGCGTTTTATTTTGACATTTGTCCTGTCTGCTTACAGTTTTGACCACATCCCTCCTGTCCTTAAGCAACTCCACTGGCTCCCTGTACAATACTGCATCCAATACAAGGTCCTCCTCATCACTTACAAGTCCCTCCCCCATCTCACCGACCTCCACCCGCCGCCTCAGATCAGCCCACACCAACCTCCTCACTCCCCTCGTCAGGACAAAACACCGGACCTCGGGGGACAGAGCCTTCGTCTTCGCCGCCCCCGCCGCCCCCTCCCTCTGGAACTCACTCGCACAATCCATCAGAAACTCAAACTCACTGCAGCTCTTCAAATCACATCTAAAAAGTCACTCACTGATCAAACTGGCATTCCCACCATGATTCCCCCGTTTTCCACAGTGTTACTTTTATTCATTTGTAAAGCGGCTTTGAGTGTCCATAAAAGCCCTATATAAGTCTGATGTATTATTATATTATTATTATTTTGAGTTTTACTTCCTGTCTTGATTGTTTGCCCCGCCCTAATGTTTTTCACCTGTGTCTGTGCATTTATACTGTGTTCTCCTCTGCACTTTGTTGGTCCATTGTCACTGTCAGAGTCTCATCTTGTCTCTTGTCTTGCCAGTTTAAGTTTCTTTGTTATTAAAGAACTTTTACAGCAGTCCTGCAGTTTGGGTCCTCCCTCTTTTTCTACGTGACACACAGAGATTTTGAACATTGGTAGTGAATAAAATATACCGTATTTTCCGGGCTATTAGATGCGCTCTTAAGCCTCCAACCCCATCAAAAAAACGACAATCCAGAGCGTCGTATACACGAATCCACTCAGCATCCGAGCAGACAGCGACCGCACAGCGAAACACACCCACAGACACACTCATCACTCCACGGAACGGAACGGAACAAACCGAAAAAGCGAGTGCAATGTGCCACTTCTAGACACAACTGAACAACTCTGTCACTGCGAACATGCCGACAATCTGTTGGTCCCAGACACACCCTCCCTACACGCCACAACTGAACAAAGCCAAGAGTCACCGTGAACGAACAAACAAACAAAACCACTCACCCATCACACTGTTGGGTTTCATTTAAAGTCCGGTGTGGTTTATTTGTGAAAAAAGTTCGAAAATAGACCATTTAATGACAGTGCACCTTATAATCCAGAGCGACTAATAGCCCGGAAAATACGGTAGTCTGATATTGAATAATCAGTATCAATATCTGCCAATACCGATACTGGAACTGATCTATCACCCATTACAACTACAATAAGCAAACACCCTGGCCTTATAGACAGGCATTTCTATTTAGTATTTGTTCACGTCAAGAATGCCATAAATCTGTTATAGTTGAAGTGAAAAGTGCAGTTCGTCCAGAGAAATCATTCTACATTAGTGATGAACATGCAGCCTTACCTCCACAGTGCCTGTCCTGTCCCAGCTGCCTCTCCTGTGTCCTGGCCGTCTCTCTGTCTGCCACCCCCCAGAGCGGCTCCTCCTCCTGCCCCCACCTCTCTGCCCCTCTGCTGGGCTTGGGCAGGGGCAGGGCATGGTGCTGTGGCTGTGGCTGTGGTTGTGGCTGTGGTTGTGGCTGTGGTTGTGGCTGTGGTTGTGGCTGTGGTTGTGGCTGTGGGTTGTGGCTGTGGTTGGGGCAGGGCCGGCTGTCTCTCCCCGTCGTCCGGTGAGGTCAGCGCCCTCTTCCCTGCGCGCACCTCGGGCTCCCGCTGGACGAGTGAGAGCAGGTCCGTGGGGTCCGGGGGCTTCTGGGAGGATGGGCCCCTGGCGCTGATGTGGATGTCCCCGGCCCGCGTTGTGCCCACTGGACCCGCAGAGGAGGAAGAGCAGGGCAGCTGACCCATGGAGTGTCCTGCCTGGAGCTGAGGAGAGGGGGAGAGAGAAGAGCTGAGTGAGGGGTGGAGCTGAGGAGAGGGGGAGGAAAAGGAAATGAGGGAAGGATGGAGATAAAGAAGAAAGGACAGAGTGAGGGGTGGAGAGACAGGGATGAGCAAAGTGAGAGGTGAGGAGAGGGGAGACAGAAGAGTAAAGGAAATGAGAGAGAGTGAGGGAAGAGAGGGGAGAAGAATGGGAGGTGGGGGAGGAAAGAGGGGAGAGAAAAGAGCAGAGACGTGGAGAAAGGGGGGGGGGTGACACAATCTATGTGGGAGTCATGCCGACTCATCACTGCTGACTCACTGTTCTATGGACATCTAGAAGTGCCACAAAAGACTTATGGGTCATTCCACGCCATTTCAACAAATGGACCATGCACTTTGATCTCAAAAAATGTTGAAAAAATTACCAAATAGTCCCTTACGATCATGTACCAACCCTGTGAAGTTTTAGTGATTTTTGATCATTACTTTTCAAGTTACAGCTCATTTAGTGAGTGGAGTATGTGTCAATTTACTGGCCCAAAATGCACGTAATTTTTTCTCTGCGGTTTTCACAGGTCGATATCTCCGTTAGTATCACACATAGAGGGCTGAAATTTTGTAGGCTTGTACAATCCGTGTATCATTTGTTCATTCGTTTTTCAATATAAAACCAAAAATAAGAAAACAAAAAAACAACAGTTTTCTTCGCTATTTGTCTTCAAAACCAAAATGAAAAAACGGATAATGATTCGTTTTTTCAGTTTTCGATTTTGTGTTTAAATGAAGAATGGAAAAAACGGATAACAGCCGTTTCCCGTTTACGTGACTTCCGTGACTGCGATTCCGGACTTTTGCACCGCATACGGACTGAATCAGGACGGATCCAGGTCCGAAACCAGACCGAGACCAGAGCGGGACTGAGACCGGGACAGAGCTGCTCTGGTCCTCCGCGCTCAAGAACCGCGGCTGGTTCCGAGGTGGTGCAAAATATCCAACTGACGCATTCACACCAACGAAAATGAATCGAACTAAGAGCTTTTGGTTCAAATGGACCAGGTCCGGGACCAGACCGGGACCAAAGCGCTACTGAGACTGGGACCAGACCAGGATCAGACCGGGACCAGATCGGAGGCTCAGAGCCCACGGCAGGGCCGGAGCTCGAAGCTGAGGCTCGGACCCCGTGGAGGCTCGGAGTCCGCCCTGGTCCCGCTCTGGTCCCTGTCGGGTCTCGGACCTGGATCCGTCCTGATTCAGTCCGTATGCGGTGCAAAAGTCCGGCATCGCAGTCACAGAAGTCACGGAAACGGGAAACGACCGTTATCCGTTTTTTCCATTCTTCATTTACACACAAAATCGAAAACTGAAAAAACGGATAACGATTCGTTTTTTCAGTTTTTGGATTTGGAGACAAATAGCGAAGAAAACTGTTGTTTTTTCGTTTTCTTATTTTTGGTTTTATATTGAAAAACGAATGAACAAATGATACACGGATTTTGTACTCCTCTACTCTAAACATAGTACATGGTCACTATATACTTGTGTCATTGTGTCAAATGTGAATGTTCAAGATACAATTAAAAATTGAAGGAGCTTCATAAAATACATATGTTTGGTACCATATGAAAGGTCTTTTTCTGGTCTTTCAAACAAAAATTACTCAATTTTTTTTTTATCACTACCCACATAAATGACATGTGAAAATCAGACCATATTACATTTTCTTGTTTTTAACAGGTCCCTCACACATAACCTATTTCAAATTTTCAACATTTGGTGATTTTTAACAGTCCTACTACATATCTTGATTCTCCAAAAAAAATTTAAGGGTCTCCAACACCTACAAGTAGGTTTAAAAAGGGGCTAAAAATGGTAGGCCACGGAAATGAACAAGTTTTTTTTTTCATTTTAAAGTTCATATAAAATGACAATGAGCTGAAATACCAAACTTTCAATAGATGTTATTTGAACACAGAGTAGAGGAGTACAAGCCTACAAAATGTCAGCCCTCTGTGTGTGATACTTACAGAGATATCAACCTGTGAATAAGGCAGAGAAAAAATGATGTGCATTTTGGGCCTGTAAATTGACACATACTCCCCTCACTAAATGAGCTGTAACTTAAAAAGTAATGATCGAAAATGACTAAAATTTCATAGGGTTGGTACATGATAGTAAGGGACCAGCTGGTAATTTTTTCAAAATTTAAAAAAAACATGATGCGTAAGATTTTCTGGAAATTTGATGAAATGGCGTGGAATGACCCTCATCTTAAATGGGTTGAAATTGCTTTAATTAGAATTGAAATTGATTTGAGTATAGTTTGACTTGTCCAGTAAAAAACATATAATTCTTGAAATCTAGATCTTCAACAGGCACGTGGACAATCAAAATCTACTCAAATCAGGACACACATCCTAATTCAAACCATCTCAACATATTTAAGGTAACCGTTTCACTGAAGCCATGCCAACTACAGCTCAAAATGTTCTTCAGTCTCCAGCACAGGGCTCGCAGCAGATGCCACAAGTGCAAGGCCACGCATGACATGCCGCTCCAAACCTCTCCAAACCACAAGAATCCAGGCAAGACATTTGTGGTGTAGTTTTACCACTGTAGCCATTCCGACATCAGTCATCTACCAGCGTGTGCCTCAACAGGCTCATGAGGACTTCTACCAGGCCTGTCATGATAACACATTCTGAAGTGCAATACGCCGCTGAAGTAAATCCAAACGATAAACGATAATACTGAGACTTAACGTTGCCACTGACACAATAACTGTAAACCAGTATCATCGCAGTAAAACATTTCAGTGAGAACCATATTGTTAAAATATATGAGCTGCAATATATAAACAACAGAAATCTAACTGTAGTAGTAGATAATGGGTGATAGAAGTTATGTTCAACCCAAATACAAATCTTATCACAAAACAGTTCTCCACTAGTACAAAGAAAAAGCACCCACTATAAAAAGAATAATACTGACCTTCAAAAATAATAGTTCCATCTAACATGTACAGTGGGGGTTACGTTCTAAAAATAACCCGCGATAGGTGAAATCTGCAAAGTAGTCAACTTTATATTTATAATGATTATATCTGTTTTAAGGTCGTAAAACCCCTCACCACACACTTTATACACTTTTCTCATCCATTTCTGCATCCTTCTTACAACTTATTGCTGCTGTCGTCCTTTTGTTATTTTCCTCCTCCTTTAAGAACCAAAGATTAATTTATTCCATAATGGAGCCTACAGCGCAGAGTCCTGCACGGGTCCATTTTTGGAGACCCGCAGTAGAACACCGCACCCGCGCAGGACAGCACCTGCCCCTTAACCCGAGATTATATCAAACTTTTGTGCTACCTATGCCACGGAGTGAAACAAGATTAAAAAAGGACGAACCCAGGACTAACCTAGGACTGATTCCAGGACTGAAGAGGAGGACTAAACCAGGACAGAACCAGGACTAAAACAGGAGTAAACCAGAACTGAAACAGGACTCACTGTCGGGACGGGCTTGGAGGTGACCGTAGGAGAAAGGACCAGCTCAGCTCCGCACCTCACGAAGGTAAACTCGGCTGTAGCCTGATCGTGCTTTATAGACAACCTGCTGTGCGGGCTCGGGGTTCAGTCTCTTGTCCTGGTTTCAGTAACTATCTGCTGGTAGCTGACCTGGTGCAAGACTCTGCTACAGCACGTAACTTCTACCTTCCTTCAGCGTGTCCAGAAGTCCAACTTTTTGTGCAATGGTTTCATCTTTCATCGTTTCATCAACATTGTGGGTTTTGTCAGGGAGAAAACTTGTTTCACAATCACACTGCTAGAGATCCAACATTTATGTACATTTGGCAGCTGAATGAATTCTGTACAGTACGGTACAGGAGACAGGAGTCCCTTAGCCAATCAGGACGCAGCGAGAGGAATGCAGTACACATTCATACACTGTAAAAAAAAAAAAAAAAAGGCAAACAAAATTGCACAAAAAAAATCCACAAAACACCGAGACCGCGAAAGCTGAACCGCGATAGTGAGACGGACGACTGTATTTTACAAGAAGTCAATATAATAATTATTATAATCATGACAGGCCTAAGCTCTACATGTGATCAAATCTCATCATGCTTTATAAAACTGGAACAGGTGAGAACACAACTGACAAAAATTTGATTCAAACTAAAAATCGTCAGTGAAAATATCATTAAAAGTGCACAACTTCACTTTTCCGGTAAAGAGCATTTAACCGCCTGCTTGTCTCTATGGAGCTACCCACAGTATAGCATTAAACTTATATAACGTGTATATTAAAGTGCTTTGAGTATGTTGAAGGTAGAAAAGCACTATATATATATATAGAATAAATGTATGGTTGGGCTTGATCTGACTTGCAGCCAGGCCCATTTGGAGATGGATGTGTTTAATGCCATACTGTGGAATCTTCCTGGCAACAAAACCTCTATGAGAGTAAGCAGGGGTTAGGCTCTCCACTACAAATGTTACACAGTGCAGCTTTAAAGCCCGTGCCCTGTATGACAAACCATAACGGCCCATGCTGCAGGACACACAGAGAAGACAGGAGCAGCCCTGTGCAGAGCAGAGGAACCAGAGGAACCAGGGGAGTCTTACATGGAGATGTTCTACAGGACTGTCACACAACTCCAGCTCCTCCAGCTCAGAGCCCGATGAGTCCTGGAGAGACAGACCACGTGAACCTATCTGGGGCTGGTTTTGGTCCAGTACATGGGGACCAATAATGTGTTGGTTTGTACCTTGGGGCAAGATTGTCTTTAAGGTTAGGGTTATAGAAGGATTACCTGTATCAGAACTGGTGAAAGACCACAGGATAACATTGAATACATTATTCTAACTCTGTGTTAAAAATTAAATTCTGCCATTGAAGTATTTAATATAAAAAAAGAGGTGGAAGTGCAACAACACCACCTGTTGGCACAAATGGTTAGTAAAGGGGAAATTATTTAGATAGAAAATACTGTTTATCTGAGAAGAAACCTCCGAGTTGGAGTGGCTGTCTCACCTGCTGCATGTCCTCCAGGGTGATGGGCTGTGTCTGGTAGCGTGCGTTGGCTCTGCGGCCCCGGGGGTCCGCTCTGGTCCTGGTGACTCGGCTGGGGGGTTGGGCCAGGCTGTTGAACAGGGCCATCTTTGCAGCCAGGCTCAGGGTGCTGCGGTCGGGCTCCTCCTGGGTCTCCTCCTTCTCCTGGCTCTGGATCGGGGGCTGGTTATTTGACTGGTTTGGGGGCTGAATGTGTGGTTGTCTCTCCACGGGGGCCTCCTGGACCTCCATCATTTGTGCGGCCTCTCTGACTGGAGCACTGCGCTGGGAAGCAGCCTGCAGGCTGAGGGAGGAGAGGAGAAGGAGAGCGGGGGAGAGAAACAAAGAGAAGGAGAAGGGAGAGTGTGTGGAGGAAATCACAGTGAAAGAATTAGAGTGATTCTCTTGTCAGACACATCCATAATATGTATGCATCATTTGTTATGAGGTGGATTTTATTGAGTCTTCCTTAAAGCGGTGCCTCTGGACAAAGTTTCAGTGGGAATACAAATGTTGATCTTGGCTTTAGCTGAACTCAGTTATAAGCACCTAGCTGGAGGATTAGTCTAAAGTGTATGTTAACACTTAAGACAAAACCCAGACACAGACAGAACATGCAAAGTCCACTCTCGAGGCCCCATGCAGACTTAAAATCAAAACCTGGAAACTTGTTGCTGTAAGGCAGAGCAACAACATAGACTACTCCAGTAACCAAATGATTACAGTTTGTTACCATCTCAGTGAGTAAACCCAAAACAGAGGCCAAACAGACAGACCCAACCCAATACCTCACAGGCAAACCCCACACATGCCGCTCATTAGAGAGTCTAGAGTTCTGCTTCATATCAGAGTTAATAAACCAGCACACAGTGAGTTAGTTCCACTCTCGTGAGCCTCAGTCCATGCTGTACCTGTAGGCTACAGAGGGACTGAGAGGGCGGGGCATGGTTGTGAGAGCGCCCCCTGGCTGTACCACATCAGATTGGACACTACAGGAGGATGAACAGGGGGCAGGGAGGTCAGGGGTCAGCATTTCACAATTCAATGTTTTTTTAAGATCTTAAACTTTCACTAGAACTGGTCAGACTCTGTATACATTTTGTTTGCAGCTATTCACTAGTATTGGCTTCCAGACCAATTTCTAGATTTATTGCAAAGAGTGAGCCAGGACACTAACCCTCTTTGCAGATTCTTTTTTTTAAATAGTTATACTTTTGCAGATTTCCTTTAACCCTGAGAATCAATAATAAAATACATTTGGAAAAAAATATGTTTAAAGCCATCTGGAAAGAAATGTGTCCATTGACTGAAAGTATGAAAGAGTATAGTCCCCATCAAGACACTGCGTCAAGTCAAACGTTTCTTTTTTATGTCAACAACAGGAGTAAAACAACGATCTGTGTATGCTACGCAACACTGGACCCATGTACAGTGTGTAGACCCACGTGGTGGCGATGACCACCTCCTCTGTGGTGACCGGCTGAGTCCTGGAGCGGTCCTGGCCTCTCCTCAGTCTCCTCTCCAGAGCAGCGTTTCTGGAGCGAGGTTTAGGAGTGCCCCCGTCTATGCTCTTCTCCAGCTCCTGCTCAACAGAGAAGAGCCATGATGGTTCAGACAAACACACATGATCAGTCATTTGAAAACTTTTGCTTCAGTTTATGGTGTAAATTATTGACCTATTTAGAAGCGCTGACATTTGAGACACAATTTCAGTATATTCCAATTATGTCTCAATTGTTGCTTCAAAACTTTGCGTGATTATTGTAAGTTTTTCTACATAGAAAATTGAATTTCCAAATTAGAAAGTTGAATGTTTTATTCAATTCAATTTTCTAATTTGGAAATTCAATTTTCTATGTAGAAAAACATACAATAATGTTGAAATCTATTCGACAATATGAATGAAATGATGGATCCTGAGGCTGTAGGCCAGGGGTCTCCAACCTTTTTCCTCTGGTGAGCTACCTTCAATGAAACGAAAATGCCAGAGAGCTACTCTTTTTAGAGGTTGCAAGAAAGTGAAAACCTAAAAAGAGCTCTGACAAGTTTTAAAGGGGTCACAATTTAGATGCTTATTAAACATAAACCATGGTCCATTGACTAGTGCACAAGTTAGGAATCAAAATGATACATTTACAGTGGAAATAAATATGATTTGAATTAATAAGCATCTTAAATGTAATTCAGAAATCCCTTGGTGAGCTACTTGGAAGGGGGTGGAGAGATACTGGTTTCTCCCGAGCTCCAGGTTGGAGACTCCTGCTGTAGGCCTTTGGTCGCTTAAACAGTCAGTGATTTTCATCAGTCAACAAATGATTTTATTCGTCTTATTAGTATTAGAAGTTTTATATGGACTATAGCACAGTTTACTGCCTTTTATTTCATGACTTTTCTGTGCTTTATAATTACAAGAGCCATCAGTGATCGTTTGTTAAATTGAAGTGTTTCTGTCACTTGATAATGAGTCATGTGTGTGGAGGAGGAGGCAGTCTTACCCTGAACAGAGAGCGTTTGGCTGCTACACTCAGCTTGGCCCGATCATCCAGCTTCTCCTCATCAGCTGCACACATCACAGGCAACACCAGGATAAACACACACACACAACACTGTACAGAGAGTACACATGCAGTATATAAATCTATTGCTTTAGTCGAATCTAACAACATTTGTGTTTGTGTTTTATTAAGAGATTTACATTTACAATTTCAGCAAATAATGACAATTAAAATGACATGTTTGCCTTTACTGAATTAATAATATAATAAAACTTCACTGTTTTACTGTTTTACCTGTCAAAATAAAATGTCAGTACCATAATATGGGTCATTCTCATGAAAAACAAAACAAAACATGAGAATCCACAACTGTGTTTATTAAACACAGGTGTTTTTTTCTTGCAGTCTTTTTATAGAACAGTCAGACTGAAGGGACAGGGGTTATTATGGGATATATATCTAATGACTTTCATGTGTAAATTAAACAGCAGGACTCAATACAGCTCTTCACAGTGTTACGCCAGGTCTTTGTGTGCTCCCAACAACAGTCACACTCTGCTGATTTGGACTTGGCTCCAGCAGTGACGGTCGCCATGGCAACTCTGAATCACTTCACAATCCACTGTCAGAGCCATTACAGACTTTAGACAAATTCTAGATAATTTCACATATTTTACACTAGCTCTGAACTATTTTGATCTAAATATTTAATTGCAATCTGTCTAAGTATTGTGATTCGATTTGTGAAGTTTGTTTAGCTGGATGCATTTCACAACATGTTTGCAGGTCTAAACTACAGGGCTGGCAAATTTGACACAGAATAAGAGCTCATGGAGATAAAGGGAGGGCATCTGTATCATCAGATTGAAAACTGCAACCACTCAAATGTCAGATTTGATTGCAAATAATCTTGCAATGCTTTTAAGCGCCTTCTACGAATGGAATGAAGCACACAGTCGTCTTACCATCTTTTCTGTTCTACTAGCCCAAAATCACATACAGCACTGGAAGCAGAGACACCATTAAACACTGACAGTTTCAATTTATACTAAAAAAATATCAAGCAGTTGTAAAATGTTCTGAATGACGTGTGGATATTTGAGTGGGGGTGTCTGCCAGAGGATTTCATTAACATCAAACCTGTGGGAGGAATTATTTGCTGTGTAACTTGCGCTGGATTCAAGTTTCTTCCACTGCTCCTTCAGATATGATTTAGTTTTACCAGATCTTTTCCATCCCAATGTCCTTCCAATTCCTTCAGTTTCAAATGTTACGTCCAGATAATTACTCGTAAAATGACTCTTGCTTTAGGAGTTTCCCCAAGTATCTTTTTTCTGACGTACTTTCTTGCACCACCAGTATGTACTTCCACATATTTCTCTCTTATTTGTAGTTTAAATCATCTGCATTTCAATAATTCATTTTAACTGCTCCCATTTGTATGAAAGGGCCCAAATATGTTCTATTCCACATCACAAACAAACCTGGAGTTGTGTTTTGTTTCATTCACACATTAAGACACACAAACCCTGCAGAATTAGGCTGAGCTCTTCTCTGAAACAGAAAACACTCTGCTCCACCTTGTGATGTCATGTGGTAACTCAGGAATTGCTCCACTGTGTTTCTGAACTTCATTCACCTTCTCTAAAAACATCATTTCACCTCTGGAATTGAAAATCTGCACTGAATTAAAAGGTAAAAGCAGTTGTTAACTTGAAAACTGCCACTTCATGACATCAAAAGGTGGAACAGAGCATTTTGAGCTTTGGGGATGTAGACAGACTGATAATAATTACTCAAACATGTGTGAATGAAACAGAACTTTATAATGTGTAGTAGTGTAAGAGCTTACCTTCAGTAGAATTGAAGTCTGAGCTGATGCAGGACCTGAAGAAGCAGAAGATACGGTTAGAAAAGTCCCAAATGTGAGAGTGCAGCTTGGACATGGTGAGGGGTTAGTGAGACGTACAGTGGCGCGAGGCGTTTATGGTCTGCTGGAAATGTAAGCGTTAGGATCGGAGCTCTGAGCGGAGTATTAGACAGCATTAAGAGGGTTTCACACACAAACAAAGGCCAATTCATGCATTAAGTATGATCACATGACAGCACTGCCTTCAACCAATCAGAGGCCGGCCTGCTCTGCGAGGGTGCCCGTGGTAATGTGGTTAGACAAGGCAAAGTCAGACAGAGGAGATGGACACTACAATGCAGTTTGTGAAGTCTACTCTATTATATGACTATTATTTAAATAATAATGTCAATGGCAATTTTGTCATGACTAGGGCTGAGCAATATATTGAAAAATGGATAATACCCCAATTGTTGCTCTGAAGAAAATGAAATTAAACTAAATGAAACAATTAAAAATACAGCAAAATCATCTGTAGTGTCAGTGCAGCGCAGCGCCAGCGCAGCGCCTGTAGTGTCAGTGTCGTGTCTGTAGTATCTAGTGTCATCTCCCAAACGAGGGTATAACGTGATCTCTATGGTCTCTTGTGGTTAAGTTTATGCTCCATTCACGTTTTGTGTGATACTTGATCCTCAAAGACACTTACAGGCACTAAAATATAATATCCTCTGAATATCTTTATAGAAATCATAACAATAACATCATTTAAATTATGCACTCATTTTTGACAATATAGTCTCCCCCCTAAAGTCATGACAGATTTCACAACATTTAGCAGCACAGGGCTCCAGACTGGAAGCTCAGCACAGGACACATGATGGACACATGATTGCCCGGTCAGCCTCTGTTTCCTCTTCTATAAAAATGACAAGTATTCTGGAACATCGTTACATCTTCCTAATTCTAATGGGCATTATTTGCATTAACTAATCAGAGAAGTTTTATGTATCAAACACAAACACTAGTGCTCATGTGCCACATGTTTGGAATGGAATAATTGTACATGCCAGAAGCAGGCAGCTGTCTGGTCTTCAGCCAACATCAGATGATTCAAAATCACAAAATATTATCCTGATGACCAGCATATATCTGAGAAGGAGGTCTTCTGTATTAGAAATGCATAAGATTGCAGAGATTGGACTGACACCAAACTGTGGCCAGAAAGTGTTTGTCAAACTAGTTGCAGACGATCCTCTATTCAGAGGAGGAAGGGCTGGCACAGCGGGCTAATATCATGATGCAATATAATATTGTTATTTTGAACTCCAGTTACATTGGTGCTGTTACCTGATGACTCATGAAGTCACAGCTAAATGAACTTCTCACAACAGCCAAAGCGTTACAAGGTCATGTGGCAGAGGAACATGCAGACTACAGCCTCAGCGCGCATGTATCCCGCCGCCTCAGGAGCATCACACAGCGCTTTTACAGCTCAGTTAGTGCACAAGTGAGTTAAGCTTAACACCGAATGCTTCTCAGGATTAGTAGCTGTTAGGGATTTTGTGTTAGCATCCACACATTGTTGCCAACGTACATGGGTGCTCTGCGGGTGCTCGGAGGGGTGGTGGCACTCTCCATGTAGGAGTGTCTCAGCTGGGAGACTGACACCCACGGGTCCTGGAGGAGGTCGGTGAAACTAGAGGCACGCTGGTCTCTGTGGAGGGTGTCCTTTGATGGAGCTTGGGTAACTTCTCTCCCTCTTGATGAATGGGTGGATCTGTGCTCACGCCTGGGTCTTTCTTCAGTTTCTCCGCTCTGGTACCGGGGCCCCAGCTGTTCTTCGATGTGTCCTCTTTTGGGCTCCTCGTTGCTCTTCTCGTGGCCGAAAACCTCAGATGGTAGGACGGCCTTCCTGCTCCGCAGAAGGCCCTGGGTCCTCACCTCCTCTCCCTCATCTAGAGCCTCCTCCTGGGGTGTGGCTGCAGTAGTGGGCCCAGAGGACATGGAGAGGTACGTGGGGCAGGAGGTGTAGAGGTCTGGGGCAGATGGGGCAGATGGGGTGGGCAGGACAGTGCCGTGCTGAGGGTGAGGGCGGGTGGAGGTGTGGGCGGGTCTCCAAGGCACTGGGGGGTCTGACTTTAGGCTCAGATCAGGACTCCTCTGGCGGCCCTCTCCCCGGGCCAGTCTCTCTCTAATGCGGATTCTTCAAGAAACAAAGCATCAGCATTTAACACTGCTCCACACATTATCAAAATGAAGACTTCTACCATGACATGCACTGCTCATGGCCGAAAAATGAGAGAACATGAGTATTTTACCAGAACTGTAGATGACATGTGGGTCTAATACTATCTGACAATATCAGACTCACATGTCAGAACATGTCACTCTCTAGTAGTGTATATTAAACAAACACCACAAAGTTGTGACAACCCATAGCAGAAAACTCCTACTCAAGTGTGAATGGTGTGTGAATAGCAATGTCTACTATTCCTTATGTAAATGTATTAAAATGAGTATGCACTGCCTTTGGTGACCTCTGCAATTTCAAGCAGTTCTTGACATCACACAGAACTGCCCTTATTACAGTCAATTGTTTCCGATTACAAACACAAATTTATAAGAGTGGACACAGGGAGCTCCCAAACTGATGGCCACACTTTTGGTCAGTGCCAGATTCACAGCACAAGTGAAGTTAGTCTGAAAACCACTCCAGCCTAACAGAACACAGGAACGAAGCAGGACTCCACACCAGGGCGGGGGGTCACCATGGACAGGTCAGGGGACATGAGAGTGGGCCCTAAACTTCAGTTATGAGCCAATGAGAGAAGAATGAATTAGTAGATTCATGATGATTGGGGAATGAATCAGATGAAAGCTGCAAAGACTGAATGGCGGGACATGGCAGGGTCATGGCAGGGTCACGGCAGGGTCACGGCGCAGCCTGAGGGGAGGGGGGGTGGTACCTCGATGGCCAGTTGATGGGGGAGTGAGTGTCGCCCTCAGCGTCTGTCTGCAGCAGCCAATCAGAGGTGGTTTTGGACCCTGCACTGTGATGTGAAGAGCCAATGGGAGACATGATTGAGCCTGGGCTAGTCCCTCTGGAAGCTCACACCACTGATATGTGACCCTCAGGAACCAACAGGAGCAATGCTAACCTCATACTAGTTGGCTACCAGTTATTAACAGTGCATCTTGTCATAGGTTGGTGGTATTCTGTTATACTTTACTCTTTTTTATATCTATAGAACTATAGAGTAGTTTTGGTTACTCTTCCCAATGTGAGTACATCTACAAATGACAAAAGTGTCATGTTGACAATACAAAATTATCTGAACGTTTTTGTTTCTTGTGCCTCTCCTTCAAGTATTAATCTGAATCTTTTCTCATGTTTAGTCTTTGTAGTCTAACCTATTTTTGTCCATACTTCACTGTTTTGTCCTTTTAAATTATATTAACTTCAAAATATAAATTAAATATTACCCCCAAACAGTTAGCCTGGGACCAATTTTTTGGCTACTCTCCCCACCTCTGCATCTCATCATAAAAACAAACTTTCTGCCATGCCATAAAAAAAAACAAAAAAACACCTGGACACATCTTGCACCAACCTAAATACTAAATGGTAAAACAAGAATCCCACAGAAGAGAGAGTAGTCTGAAAACTGTAGAGCACTGCTCACCCCTGCCTGCTGAGGATGCTGTGGGCCTGCTGCTCGATGAACAGGTCCCCTGGGGAGGCTGCGCGTTTGGGGGAGGACAGGGAGGGTTGGCTGCTGAGGTGGGGGGAGCCAGGGGCTGTGCTGCTCTGGTTGGGCTCAGCAGGGGGCGCTCTACTAGAGGAGAGAGCCGTCACTTCCATGTACGTTGAGGCGGGCTCTGTGGGGGCAGTGCGGCGCTGGTTCTCCAAGTTCAGTAATCTCTCCCGCTCAGAGAAGGAGTCCACTCGGGTCAGCGTGGGCTCTGGACGGGAGGAAAAGATAACTGACATTTCATTATAATGATCACAAGTACAATTCTCCAAGCATCTTTTTTGGTTTTCTTAAAAGAGGAGTATATATATATGTATGTGTGTATATATACACACACACATATATATTATATACATACACTAATATATATATATATATATATATATATATATATATATATATATATATATATATATACACACACACACACACACATATATATATATATATACATATATATATATATATTTCTATATACAGTCTGTGATCTGAAGTGGTTTTATGTCATCCATACATTTTTCTGCAAATATGACATTTTCTAATTTTCTAAACAATAAAATGTAACATGGTGATCTAAATATGTTATATGTTTGCAATTAACAACGCAAAGAAATGCAATACCTCCTCTCGAATGTATAAATACAGAATATTCCAGAATAGTCCCTGCAGTAGGATTTTGGCTGAATGAATACTGGGAGTATCTCAGGGCTGCTCTTTGTCACCTGTAATATTTTTGCAGTAGGGTTATCAAAAATGTGAGTACTCAAATACTAATCAGTACAAAAACATGGATTAAAAGGGCCTGGACTTTCATGACTGATGATCATTTTTTCAAGTATTTAAAAATTCTTTGTAATGCTCCATTACAGATCTATTGTATAAGCAGCTCTTGAGGTAAAAATATGTCTGCTGTGTGCTGTCTGCATTTACAAAAAAGCATTTTATTTAGTGATAATCAGGAAGCATGGGTTAGCATGCTAATTGATTGAGTCTGTGCATGTGTGTGTCCAAACCGTACAATCTTCTACATTTATCATTATCCTATAACAGGTTCATCTTGACATTTCTACCTGGAGCAGTGTTCCTGATTGGGGGAGCAGTGCGTCCTTCTGGGGGGCTGGTGGGGGCAGGGTTGCTGGTTCTATCCTGCTCTCTCCGGGGGCGGCTGTAGCGTGAGGTGTAGTCTGTGTCTACGTCCTGGTCCAAGGAGATGCCGTAGCGTTCGGCCAGCTGTCTCCTCCTCTCGGCCTTGTACCGAGCGATGCGCTGGGCTTTGGACTCCAGCTCGGGCCCAGTGGTGCTGGTGGTGCTGGAGGGGGTGTAGAGGGCAGGCTGTGGGGCTGACTGAAGCTCGACCTGGGACTGTTCACCCAGCTGCTGCTCCGGGGTCTGGACAACATCCTTACTGTACCTCTGTGATGTCACTGATACAAGTACAGAGGATAGACTGTGTAAGTGAAGTGACATAAGCATCAAAACCAATATCACATCTGGACAATGCCGTCTGATCTTTTTGTATAAACAAATATTACTATGATTATCCAGGTTATAATATAAAACAATAAATAAATACATAAATAAATAATAGTAAAATTGGATAATCTTAGAATCTTAAATTATTAATTTTCAATTCAACCTACACTAAAAAGTAGACCTAAATGTACAGTGCCTTCTCTATCTGACTACGTCACATTAAAGAGTAATTTCTACTTTAAATTTTCTATGACATTTCTTCTCACTCTAAAATGTAATATTTGACATGTTGGCATCCCTGCTCCCATGTGTCTCACCTGAGCTGGGATAATGAGGCTCTGAACTCCTGGTGTAGCGCGTTGTCTCCTCTGATGTCTGACTGTAGTGGGGGGTGTCCTCTGTCCCTCTGCTGTTCAGTGGAATGTTCCCAGAAGTGCTGATGAGGTGGGGGGTGTCTTCTGAGGAGCGGGCGTAGTGCAGTGTGTCCTCTGGAGGGTGGCTGTAGTCCTCTGTCCCTCTGGTGTAGTGTGGGGTGTCTTTTGCCCCTCTGGTGTAGTGTGGGGCGTCTTCTGTCCCTCTGGTGTAATGAGGGGCGTCTTCTGTCCCTCTGGTGTAGTGTGGGGTGTCTTCTGTCCCTCTGGTGTAATGAGGGGTGTCTTCTGTCCCTCTGGTGTAATGAGGGGTGTCTTCTGTCCCTCTGGTGTAATGAGGGGTGTCTTCTGTCCCTCTGGTGTAATGAGGGGTGTCTTCTGTCCCTCTGGTGTAGTGTGGGGCGTCTTCTGTCCCTCTGGTGTAATGAGGGGTGTCTTCTGTCCCTCTGGTGTAGTGTGGGGTGTACTCTGTCCTCTGTCGGGGGTACTGAGGCGGGTCTACAGCGCTGTTACATGGTGTATACTCAGAAGTTCTAATGTAGCCAGGGTAGCTGGGTGTGTCGTTGTCAGCCCTGATGTAGTTCTCTGGAGTCTTGGTGTAGTGTGTGGAGTCTTCTGGACTCTTGTAGTGCAGGGGGTCTTCAGTGGTCCTCATGTAGCGGGGCGTGTCCTCTGAGCTGCGGGTGTACCTGGGCGTGTCCTCCTCCAGCAGCCTGTGGGCCACCAGGCTGGGCAGCAGAGAGGGGGGCACCTCCCCAGTCTCAATGCCCTCCAACCTACGGGCGATGCGCTCTTTCCTGCACACAGGGAGAGAGGGAGTGTCCTACATGTGTCACATTTATCTGATTTGGATCATGATAAAACCACAGACACTTGTTCAGCTTCAGCCCAATGAAGCCAAATGAGTTGAACAGTTATAGTAGCTAATCTGCAAACAAGTCCCATTTTTGGAAATCCGAGTGAGTAAATCAGAAGTGAGGTACTCACCCCTCCCACACACACTGCTGGTTTGGTAGGGGGCGGGCGCAATAGCTGTCAATCAAACCTGGGGCTAGTGGTAGTCGACTTTGGGGAAGGAAGGCACCTGATTGGTCTGTTATTATTGTTCATATCTTGATTTATGGTCAGCAGCTTCAGAGAGAAGCACCACCATTTTTCAACAGAAGCCAAATGGAACCAGACTCTGATGGAACCAGTTCAGGCCCATGTTCACTTCCTATGTGGAAAATAGTGTCAAGCAGGCTAGCTATGTCCATTTATGTAGGCCATGGATAAAACATGAAAGATACTACGATTAATCTTGTTCCACTTTGGATATGGTCAATGTTCACATTAGACTCTCCTTAGACATAAATCCACTGGAGAATTTGCAGAATAAATCATGATTTGGTCTTTCAAACTGTTACATTTATCTGGACAGGTTTAAGAACAACATGCTGCCAGAATATCTTGAGTTGCTAATAGTTTTAGCAGTAGAGCAGCTTCATGAGCAATACTGGACTAATGGAACATGCCAGAAATAGTTAGTAGTCATATGTAAGCAGCATAGTCACTTCACAAACCTGCCTTTTATTTGTTAAATATGTGGACGTGATAAGTGTAAAACTCGCTGTGTGATCATACCTGTTCATGTCACAGTCACTGACGCTTGTGTGGAAACCTTCAAACCGTTTCCTCAGCTCTGAAACTACATCCCAAACAACAAAGGTTAAACAGGATTTCAATGAAGGATCATTTTCTACCACTAACATACAAGGCACTGAGCAAAAAGAGCAGCAGTTTAAAAAGGTAAATACAAGATTTATAAATACATGTTTCCATAAACTAGAGCTTCATTCAAGGTGCACATATGACGTCACGCTCGACTACCTTTGCTTTGGAAGTTCATGTTCATTAACTTTTTGTACAGTGCATTTTGTTCCATAATGTAAAGTGATGTAAAATAGAAAAGCTAAACCAGTAATCCTCTGCAGTCTGTGCATCACATTAGCAGCAAAATTTATTCAGGAGTCATTGCTTACTGAATTGTTTCTGAAAAATTATGCTATTTTATTCAAAGTTGCCAATAAATATAAATAAAACACATTTAAACCTCCATATTCTCGGCTGTTGAATATACTAGTGTTTGAACTTTAACTCCTGCTCTGTTTTAGACAGAGGAATGCAGCAGTGCAGGCAGTGTGCAGGAGAGGCTGGAGTCTTGGACATGAGTGGACCTGGCATTAAAGACCCTCTTACACAACCCTGACAGTCCTGGGAACAATAAAACACTGCACTGGAAATGAAAGTCCCAGTGCTGTGGACAGGCTGACCTTTGGGCAGAGCGTCCAGCAGACTGACATCAATATCAGTGATGCTCCTGACCACGGCCTCCTTCTCCTCACGGCTCAGCTCACGGTGGAAGCTGTGGAACAGATACACTCGGGTAAAGTGAGGTACACTTTATCGTCTCTGTATTTTATTTATTAATTCATTCATTTATTCATTCATTTATTCATTCAAGAAAAGGGGGAACAGTGCATATTAATGAACAGATTATAGGCTTGGGCTAGTTTCCATCTGCAGACCCCCTGGCAGGTTGATGTTACAAAAAACAAACACTCTAAACATGGGGAAATGAGTCCTCTGTATTTGAGCGTGAGTGGAGCCCCAGAGTGGAGAGCTCAGGAGCAGGTCTAAGAGCAGCAGGAAGAGCCTGAACACTGTTAGGACCAATTTAAATGAGCTGATCACATCAGCCCACAGGTTTCATTTAGAAAATGTAAAGGTGCACTATGGGACTTTTCTGCAGGAGCGTCTGCAACCTTCTTGATTTGTGGAGTTACTGATTTGACCGGAATGTTCAACAGTTTATTATAAATGTATTAGCGTGCATCTCGCCAATTAAACTTACTGCACATCATGTCAGGTTTGTGAAGCTGTAGTGTATTGTCTCGTATCCTGCTCTTGTATATTTATATACATGTTGTATATTTATATACATGTGGGAGCATGGCTGATGTCGTCTTGGACAGGCTCGTACTACTAACCATAATGACGGTTTGAATAGTGCCCAGGAGAGATCACTGATTAGACTACTTAATCATGCATGGATAACATCTTCAGGAGTGTTTTTGATGAGAGAATGATATGACATAATAAAAAGCTCCAAACAAGTTGATTTTACATAATACTCCCTCTTTAACAAAGTAAAAATGTGTTTTGGTTATTTGACCAGTTTCTGAACAGAACCAGTGAGAATTATGGGTTAGTACCAGTTCCAGTTTTAGTACTGGTATCGGCCAATATATTATTTGCACTGCCCCATTCTCTCTAACGGACAAACGCACCCCCTGGTAACACCAACTATGAGTCTGATCCAGTATCAGTCCAAACACAGTCTATAAAACACAGTAATGAAATGCTCTCACCTCAGAGCCCTCTTCTGCAGCAGTCTGTGGTTTCCAAGTCTGACGTGTGGATCACTGCCAAGTCCTGCACACACAAAACAATACTGAGACACTTACATTTCAGAGACAGATTTATTACATTTTCTTTGATCCTCTGCTCCAAAAAGTTAATATCATTATATCATAGCACAGCTCAGAGGCAGAAGCACAGTGGGCAGAGCCGTCCTCCCACAGACGGCTGCTTTGTGCTGAACATGAACTTCAGCACATCTCGCAGTCTGATACCAGTCCAACAATCGACCAAACAGTTTTGTTTAGAGCCAACTGCTCCTTCACAGAATTAGAGACTGACCGTACCACTTCTTATCCCCGATGGGGTATCTATGTCCACGACTCAGTGTAAAGTCCAGGCCTCTCTGAGTATGTGGAATATGGAGGAATGTTTGTGTGAAACCAGTGCTGACAGGCTCTTAAAGTACTCCTGCACAGTAAAGCCAAATGACCTCCAGGAGGTACTCTGTCCTGACCCCTTCGACCCCTATGACCTCTGACCCCGCTAACCCTCACACAGACAGAAGGACCTCTGCAGTGTACTGTACTGTACTTCCCTGGGAGGGGGAGAATTCCTCCTCTCTGAGCTACACCATAATGAGGCAGTAAACGCAGCACGGCACTGGTAAACAAGGGAAGAACATTATGTCATGTTACCTTAGTGATTCTATATAAAACATACATTTAAGAAACCTAGGATTTACTTTACAGTCTCTGGGGCAGGCAGACTCAGACCTGGCATTTTCAGATCACACTACAGTGCGCAATGCACCAGCACCAAGGGCCTGGCGCTGTCCATGTGGGGACACAACAGTGGATTATCTGAAGTCATGGATTAGGCCAAAAGTGTGTCACACACAGTTACATCATACTCACACCTGTGTCACTATAGGAGCTCAGAGCAGGTAGAGCATATGCACATATGAGTACAACACGAACACATGACCAGGAGAACTGTAGCCTGCAGGTCAGGAGAGATGCTCTTCTGAGGAGTGACAACACTGACCTGCTGAGGCCGGGGAGTCAGAGCTACAGCCTGGACCCCGTGTTACAGCCTGGACCCCGTGTTACAGCCTGGACCCCGTGTTACAGCCTGGAAGCTCCAATGCAGAATGTCAAGTTGGCAGGAAACACACTGTTATCACAGCCACACTCTTGTCTCAGGCGTGACACAAATACTGCATAACAGTACTTCAGTCAACAACCTGCAGTGTTTCCCATTAATACAGAGCTGGCCATTTTGTGGCTGACCCCATTTGAATCTGGCCTCCAGCACATTTTTGGTAAGACTTGTCTAATAGATTAGGCTTTATTTTACAAACATTTGCTTATGGGCTTTTGATGCTCCAATGATCCTGTTGATCCAGTCCAAAAACACATAGCTCTATTTGGAAATGGCCCTCTGGGAACAGACAGTGCCCTCCCCTGCAGATAGTCCCACATGAATTATGGCAGAAGGCAAAGAGAATTTAGCAAACGTATTGCAGATACTAGTACTGCGCACACAGCAGGGCACTTTTTGTTTTACTTTGTCATTCTTCTGTATCACACTTTTTTCTCTTGTTTCTTTTTTGTAAAGAGAAAGTTCACAAGGTACAATCTCTCATGTCCTCCCTCATATCCACTGAAGTGCCCTATCCCCAGTTTAGAGCGGGCACCACCACCCCTACGTCAGCTCTTACCTTGGCTGCACTTCACATGGCTCAGGTAGTTGGATATCCACGGGTTTTGATACATTTTGGCAAGAAATTCCAGAACAAATTCCACAAGAGAATTCCAAAAGAAATTCCACAACGGGACAAACGCAGAGGTGATGCAGCTAGAAAAGCAGTTAGCCAGAGCCCCAGGACGCGTGGAGGAGGTAGGACGGCAAGAGGGGGGGGGCAGAGGCAGAGTGGTCCCAGCCGCAGTGCTCTCTTGGCAGCCGAAGTCCAGCACCAGCACAGTCCCACGCTAAATGCTAAAGGCTAATCACTGCAACAACAAACTGCAGGCTGCGAGCCGCTAAGTCCGCTAAGCTCATTATCCCGGAGAGGTCCCGTCCCGAGCGGAGAGGAGCTGCGAGAGGTGCTGCCGCTGTCCCCCGGTGCACAGGCAGGGCACTGGGAAGAGATGACAGGAGCGGAGAGAAGGAGAGAGGGACAGGAGGGAGAGGAGGAGAGGAGGAGAGGAGGGAGGAGAGGGCTCTGTCGGCCAGATGAGAAATTCCACTCATCTGGGCTCAGAGGAGGGGTACAGGGAGCAGCACGGAGAGTGAGGAGGAGGCGGAGGAGGAGGAGGGAGGGGCCAACACGAGGCTGCAGGACGAGTACTGCCAAGGCTGAGTCAAAGTTTGTACAATTAGTTTACTACAGTGTGCAGCTTAAGCACGCACATCAAGGCACATTATGGGTTTAGTAAAATGTCCTAAATTCTCCCATTCAACTTTTATGGAGTTTTAAGCCTTATCACAATGTGTCTTCATCTGTCTTCATCTCATCTTCATTCTTCAAGTTAAAGCTGGAGTTGTGATTTGTGTCCATAATGCATGACTGAGTTTTCTTTCATATTCCTGAGGCAAGTTCAGACTGTTATCTCTCGGTATTTTTGATCCAGAGGGATATCAGTCTGGTCACCACTCCCTCCGTCGCACCTTCAGCCAGAACCAGACATGACTGAACAATCGGATTTATTTATTTGTTAAATGATGCGATGTGAAAACAAAGAAGTACCCATCATTTTGCACTAAATCCAACTTTTCTCCCCTTAGTTCAGGGGTGTCAAACTCATTTTGGTCCGGGGGCCGTATCCAATCTACTTTGATCATAAAAGGGCTGAAAAAAAAAAAAAAAAAAAAGGCACATATACCCCAAAAATAACAATAAGTTCAAATATTTGTGCAGAAAAACGTAAATCTATTACAGAAATCTTTAATTGATGAACACTTTCTTTTACAAAAAGTCAGTTTTTCTTGGGAAAATCCTGCACTCGGCTCCACTTTTCTTATGTGTGACATTTTTCTGATGAGGTCGTCACGGTCAACAGTCAAAACGATCGTCCTTTAAGAGCGTTTGGAAAGAGACAAGTCTTCATTTGTGCTGTTCTGGTGGGAGGGGCCACGTACAGAGGCGCTGGAGACGCTGCTCTGCTAGGCGACGCAGAAAATTACCAATATTTTAATAGAAAACATAATTAAAATATTTTTGTAGAAAAACAGCCGAGGGCCAGATTAAAGGTCTTGGAGGGCCGGATCTGGCCCCCAGGTCGTATGTTTGACACCCCTGCCTTAGATGAACAGTTTAGTGCTTTCCTGACTGGCTAATGCACTTGTCAATCACATCCATCTGAACTCTGGACTCAAGTGTTATCAAATTCAAGACTTCAAAATCTCAACATTTTGATTTATCGTAATCGAATCACTATTTGAATGGATGTAATTAGCAAATCGGAATGCCAGCTATTGTTGAAGCACCATAATTTCCTAAATCTCCTGTCTTACGCTGCATAAACACTGCTAAGCCTGGAGCTTAGACCTCACAAACATGCTCGGAAATGTGATTCTCAGTTTGTCAGTTTTCTTTTTTCTTAGTCAGTTCTCATGAATGTGTCGTAAACTTTGACCAGAACTCCTATTATCAAAACATAAGTCACAAATCTAATCACAATGTTGGTCAGAAAAATGTTTTTAAAATAACTATTTGATATTTCTCCCAAATTGTTCAGGCCTGCTCTTGGTGCACTCTTTGCTTCGACTTGCTCGGGGAAAGTGTTGATAGCAGTGTTTCTGTGACACAAAATGCATTATAACACGACGGTAAGCTCATAAAATTGATTTCCAATATATCACCTGTCAACATGAGATTTCCCATGTCCTGTCGCGGTCTCCTCAGAAGGCAGGGTTATCTCTGGGAGGCTGTGGGGGCTGTGGTGGGCTTATCACAGCTCCACAGCACCAGGGCCAGAGCTGTCACTGCCCCACACTGTCCGCTACATGAAGCAGACTCCTCTTACACAGGGCTAAATGTGGACGCTCTGATAAGACGCAGTCAGTCTAGAAGTCATTACATCTGCTTTGGTTTGGGTCATCCACATCCACATCCACACACACACTTCTGCAACGTGCCGCTGTCATCAACTAAAGACATTTTTCATCGACTAAAGACCGGCCGATTGGTTGACTTAAAAGTTGGTGTAGCTAAAGCTCTCAAAACTCTTCTGTATCTCTGTGTATCTGACCCATGGATCTATTAAAATAACTGCCCTAACATGACGACACCTGCAGGGGGACTTCATGCAAAAATACTATTTATGCAAAAATATAATAATAGGAAACAATGTGGAAAAGATTTAATTCTCAAATCCCCACTCCATACCTTCTCCTTTCTTCTTTTGTGCATATAATTCCTTATAGTCTAAAATAAAACGATTAAATCTACAAAGGCTTCCTCTGCCGATTAATTGCCTAAACAAATATAGGCTTATATACATATCTCATTTGCTGTGCCTATGCCTTTGGAAATTTCAACAAAAGTACTGGAAAGATAGAAAATCCTGCATTTTGTTGTAAAATAAAGACATCCTGTAGACTTATTCTTGGCTTATTGACCAAAGCTTAATTCTTGGTACAAGCCAAACTCTGGGCTCTTCCCTCATCACCATCTTCCCTCAGTAGTTTTAGTTCAAAACGATCAAACCAGAGTACAAGTAGTCAAAAGGACACTTAAAGATCATCTAAAAAATGAAATCTACTTGGTTATTTCATAAAGTCAAACCAATATATGATACAGACTCTGGCACATAGAGTGAAGTTTGGTTTAATTCTGCTTTTAACCATGTTCAAAAACATTGTTCACCTCATCAAATACATGGCTAGAGTTGCATGTTACTTCATTGATGCTTGGTTTATGAATCTTGTGCAGCAAGTCCACTCGCTCAAAACTAACAAAACACACTTGTTTGAATTTTCCCGGGATTGCTGCATCGCAGGTAAAAACCCTGTGCAGAAACCCTTCCTTTAAAACATAAGATGCCAAAGCAAAGGTTCTCAGGAGCAAGTTTAAAGGCCAGTGACTATAATGCATAATCTGTCTTTTAAGTTTAAGATGATTTGGATTATATGGACAACAGGAGAAAGGAGCATAGGGCCAGTTATCTGGACATGCCTTTTACGAGCGCGTCTCTGCATAAATTTATCCTAGAAACGATTTGTTTGAAGAGCTTTTGCCAGGGCCACAGCACCTCTTTAATCAGCCAATCAGGACAGGTCTTTAATCCAAGAACTTCTTCAGCAACTACAGGAATATTATCTGTGCAGAGAAAATGATGCGCCTAAATAACTAGAGTCTTTGACATTTGCAAAGTGAGACTGTGATGTGATGAAATTGTGATGTGATGAGTGATTTGATTGAGATGCATCTTTAACTCTAATGACATCATTTTAATATCACACAATGGCTTCAAAAGTTCTTCACATCAACTGCACGCGCCTTAACCCTGGCCTCTGTCCGTGTGCGCTTCACCCCAGGGCTCGGCCATTACCCTACAGGAGCAGTGAGGCTGCTGGGATAGACAGGCCGGGGCAGCTCTGAGCATGAGGTAATGCTCCTGTCATCTGCGGGACTGTACACAGGGAGAATACAGCACTCAGCACTGGGATATGAAGCAGACATGTGTTTAGTGAGGGCTATGGTCCATGTGGGAGGTGGGAGAGGAGCGATGTAAACACATGTATTAAGAGGATACAACAACAAAGTACTGAAACCTGATTCAAACAGGTTCAAACCAGCTCAAACTTGAAGTAGTCAATGATAGGTCTTTAAAACAATACTGCTGCCCATCAGTGTCTCCAGATATGAGGTGACGCAGCCGCATGACCCACCTCTGTAATTCTTGTGGGCTCTGCACCAAAGAACCAGAAGAGCATCCTCTGTGCACAGAGCTGAACAAGAGGGGGACTTGAATCACTCAAGTCTATTTCGACCACAGTCGACCACAAGCATTTTTCCTAATGACATTGGTTACTTATCACATGAACATGTGACCGCAACAGCCCAGCAGATCTCCGCTCTGAGTGTGAGTGTAACCACAACAAAAGCTCCCTGACGCTGCAGCCGCAGCTGGACCGGGGCTGAGGCTTGAGACTCATGAGTCACATTTGTGAAAACAAAAATATCTCTGATCTGAATCCTCCATCCTTTTGCAGCTCAGTGACTGAATTCTAATCATAATACTGGTATTTTCCAATATAGTTCAGCCCAGTTTAATGATGAGGGAATAATACTGTGGTATTGTTCATCATGCCCTTCCACACCCCCACTGGTCCAGCCCCTCAGCCCAGCAGGACAGGGCAGATGGATGGGGTTCAGAGGAGATATATGGAGGGTCTACACATGGATCTGATGCCTCTGCAGACACATACCAGAGCTGGAGGTACACATGTGGACAGAACACCCCTCTGTCGGCCATGTTTGATGGTCTGTGAGCTCATCCAGCTGTGAGGTGACTGAGGGGTCAGGCTGGAAGCACAGAACAGCATTTCATTTGGCCATTTCCTCAGAGTTTCAGAGATTAGATTACATTTAAACAACTGATCCATGTTTGTTTTTATTTTTCATGTCTCAGAGCATTAATATTTGAGAGAAGTTTGAACTAAGAGCTGTAAAACCAATGCAAGAAAAACACTGATTTGAAAAGATGACATCAGTGGATGAGCCAGTTCTCAAACAGGTGTCATCTGGCTCTGTCCTTTTCAAGTCAGAACATGTCCACAATAAGTCACTC